CCAAACCGAGCGCATCAATACACTGTTAGAGCTATATTTGCGGCACTATATGAGTGCTAGCCAGCGGGATTGGGCAAAGCTCCTTGACATAGCCCAATTCTCATTCAACTTGCAGCGGAGCGAGGCAACCAACAAGAGTCCTTTCGAGATCATCATGGGACGACAGCCAAGCACAGCTCTTTCCCTAGCCACACGCTATGATGGGAAGAGCCCCACAGCCTTCAGATTAGCCAAGTCATGGCACGAACAAACTGAACTTGCTCGTGCAACTCTACATAAGGCAGCCAAAAGAATGAAAAAATGGGCAGACAAGAAAATAAGGCACGTTGAGTTCCAAGAAGGTGATCTTGTCCTTGTAAAGCTACTGCCCCAACAATTCAAGACACTAAGAAAGGTGCACAGAGGCCTAGTGTGCAAATATGAAGGGCCCTTTCTAGTGATACAACGCATCGGCAAAGTTTCGTATAGACTCCAACTTCCTCCAAAACTGAAGATACATCCAGTCTTTCATGTAAGCTTGCTGAAGCCATTCCATGAAGACCCGAAGGTGCCATCCCGAGGAGTCTCTAAACGAGCACCAACAGCCGTTGTAACATCCTTTGACAAAGAGGTTGAAGAAACACTTGCTGAAGAGTCATTCGCCGACGGGGTGTGCCAAATTACCGGGAATACTTCATCAAATGGAAGGGACTTCCCAATGTCGAAGCTAGTTGGGAGACTATATGGAAATTCCAAGACTCAATCCTACGCTACAAGGATAATGCAACGAAGGCGTCGCAGCATTAGGTGTAGGAGAATGTCACGACCAGCTTGCTTGGTGACTCAAGTGTGCTGCATGTTGCTTAATGGTTAAGTAAACTTAGTGGCTAAGTATACTTCATAGTTAAGTAAAATTAATGGCAAAGGAACTTTAAGGATAAGCATTATCCATTCCCAAAGTTGCCACCTAAGGTTGCCATTTAGTGTTACGTAAGGATTAAGTATACAATGTATCTAGTCATATTCTTTGAGGAGATTTAGCCTATAAATAGGCCACTCCCCTTTGTAAAGTTCATAAGTTGTAATCCTTCAATACAGAGTTGACCTTTTCTCTACACTTATCTTTCTCATTTGCATACTATTAGTCTTTGAGTTTGTGTGAGTGTTAGGTTGCTTAACACATTTTCGAAGTGTTCAGGCCGCACAGACTTAGCCAAGAAGTTAAGTGCGGGACATTACGCTTTATTCTTGAGGTGTGCTATGTAGCTCTACCGGCCTATTACATCATCAACAACTCCAATTTCTTGCCCAAGGTTAGCAAGCAAAGCTATATACATCTAAACAACAATACAACTTTTAATTATATATGTAATTCTAACTGCGTAAAATGCGTTGTTCAGTAAAGACTTGAAGTTGCGTCATTTTGGAGTGAGTGGTGCGCTGCTGTTTTGTACTTTAAGTGGACAATTTCAGACCATTGATCAAACAAAGATCCAACGGCTGCTATCATCAATTCCAATCAACTCTATAAAAGCAACAGAAAATTCATATTCATAATAGCTTCTTCTTCGTTTCGTCTAAGAGCATTTACAAAAGCTTGAATCAAATTTGTGACTTGTAAAGATTGAGTGATAGGATCTTGTCATTCTGTGAGGGTTATAATTCTCTCAAGGTTTAGGGATTTCTGTGGGGATATCTCTAGGATTAGAAGTTACAGGTTGGTTTGGTTTAAGGGTTGTTCAAATTGGGTTGATCTGAGTGTGTATGTGAATTATTTTCAATTAAAGATTAGACTGATTAGTGCAGTGAGCTCTCCATTTTCATAGCTCAATGTGGATGTACCCTATTTGAAACAAGATAGGTGAACCACAGTAAAATTTCTGGTGTTGATTCTTGATTGTGTGTTTATGTGATTGATAAGTTAGGTTTTAGTTATAACACGTGTCTTTCGGGAACCGGGCATATACATTCCTGTTTCAATTTTTGTGACTTACAATCTGCATGCTCTATCAGAATACTCACTCTGTTCATGGTGGACTAGCCAAAGAATGGCAAGAATAACCACAACTAGTGCATGGTTATTTGCATTTTCAAGTGTCATACTCAAGCCCTTCGACTTTTCAGACACAGTATTTGAAGTTACCAAGAAAGACCAATCTACTTCTACTGATGGAAATGACAGAGATAACAATGGATTTACATTCAATGAGTCCCCCATGTTTGTACCAGGCACAACAATTTTAATGGTGCAATTGACTGCGGTAGCTACAAGTTTACTGGGGCTGCAACCACAAGCGGGTCATGGTTTGCAAGGTTCAGGGCTAGGGGAGTTGATGTGTAGTTTGTACGTTGTGACATGCTTCTGGCCTTTTGTGAAAGGGGTATTTTGTGGAAGAGGAAGATATGGGATTCCCATATCCACCATTTGCAGGTTTGCTGAATTGGCATTTCTATTTGTACATCTGAGTTTGATGGGCTAGAGGGATTGGAATCCAAATCAGTCCTTCTGTATTGGGCTTTTAGTCTTTCATAAATCCAAATAAGATTTGTAATTGAAATTATTTTAGTTAATTATACGGTCAATAGTTTCATTCATACTCGAATAAATCAACACTTTAATGTTATCATATTAATGATACATATCATATAGTTGTAATAAATCTCTTATAAAGTACTAATGGACTGAAATAATATACTTATCATTCGTGAAAATCAATGCTCATCAAATTTTAATATCAAATTCATACCCTATAATTAAATTTATGATTTTTAGAAAATAATAATAATTCCACTTTTAATGAAAATTGGTCCGCTCATTTACTTTGGCTAATATATTAAAAGTGAATACAATTTTACTATATTTATCATAAAATCAAGTATTATTGTGATTTGAAACTAAATATATAAGACTAAGATTTATGACATTATTCAGTTTCATTTATTTATTTTAGCACCACAACTTTATAAGTGGACAAATTTTAGACAAATAAAAAAGCTGTTATTATTTGGTCATAGCGAAAAAAGAGAAGAAATAGCTGAGGAGGTCGTTTACCAGGATTGAGACAGGGCCAATCTTCATAGAAACTAGGGATAGGAGTTTGACCTGCCCCGTTGGGGCCCCGGCAGGTGCAGGTCCAAAAAAAATACCTGTTCTCGAGTGCGGGACGAGTTTGGGGATGGTCCTGAACCTGCACCCGATTTTTTACATGTTTCATTAACCATGAATGTTTTATACAATAGCTTTCAGAAAACAAAAAAAATCAAATATACTGCAGCATTCATATTTATTACCAAGAATAATTCATGTGAATCTCTACTAATCTGGAAAATCCAATTGGAATGCTTGATAAAATCCATATTCTTATTGTGTGTTTAGTTAGAGAAAAACTAATCAAACTTAAAACTACAACAATTCCAAACTAATTTTTACTAATTACTATCATTAGAATTTTTAGGGTAAAACTTAAAATTCATTTTTTATTTTTATCCGTTTTGTGTTTCATACTAATTATATAATTTGAATTATTATTATTTTTTTTTCAGTTTGATTGATTACATATATCTTGATAATTGTATTTATTCATCTTATTATGCCATAATTTAATAAATCGAGACATTTTCTTTAGTGTATGAATATAGGTAAGCATAGAATTAATTCACCATAAGATGATACATCAATTTAGAAGCATATCTTCTTCACTTGAAGTGGAGTTGGCATTCAACAAATAAACATTCAATTAAACTTACATGTAGAATCAAAATAATTATAAATGATGAATCAATAACATATTGTGCCAACTCAAGATCAAAAGAAAAAAAATATGAAGACTCTTATGTCTTCTTGTAAAAGGAAAAATATTAAATAGAAATATGGAGATCATAATATTGTAAATTACTATTGGCAATGAATAATTATAGGCTTCGTTGCAATGAAAATATCTCTATCACACATGCTTGCACCAATATTTACAACACCTTCTCCTAGACTATTATAAATTAATAATATATTTTATGATATGGTAAGATATATAATGAACTTGGAATTACTTTTAGAAATTTACTTAATTATCTTGTAAAGTTTTTAAAGGGTGTGGTGGTACAATTTTCAATAGGAAACAAAGCTTCAATGACAGTTGACTCGAGAGTTACAAAAGAGAGTCAACTGAACCCAGCTTGTCGCCACGTGGAGACGCAAGAGTCAAAATCGGAATCAATCATTCTTAACCTTTGTCTTCTTCTAGTTTTTGGCAAACAATAAATATAAATAATGCATGTGCCACACGTGTATCAACTTCACCACCCTCCTACGTCACTTGTTAAGACAAAAGACCAATAATTTTGTGCAGTACAAATACATAAGACGAATACTTGATAAATACACATTTGTGTAGTACAAATACATTAATTTTCACATTACAACATATTTTATTATATAATGATACGACCAATTGTAATAATCAATTTAATTTAACCTTTGAAAAATATTAATCTTCATAGCAAAGTTTTTTAAGAGCATTTTTTTTTTTCTAAACTAAAGGAATTTAATATGCAAATTAAGGAATAAACTTTATATATGCACTTTTGATTATGGTGGATTGAGGATTAAGAATCTGTGTAAAATAAATTATACCACTTTTTAAAATTCAATTCTAGGTAAAAAATCCTGACAATTAATTATTGTTAATTAATAGTTATTACCATTGTTGCATAAATTAGAAGTCATAGAATGTGATTCTTTGACCGTTACGTTGTGTTATTAGGGAAAAAAAAAAAAAAAAAAAACCTAATAACAAGACCACTCAGTAATTGTATCAAGGAAATTTTAGTCAAAACCAGAGGAGACTTTCTGAAGAGAGAATGGCTAATACATTACGCCAGGGTAGTTTGTCTTCACTCTCTTTGTGCCACTGAACTCATATAATACTCATCAGCAGACTTCTGATACATTCAAGATTATATAAAATATTAACTTTCGATAAATATTTTCATTTTCTTGGTTTCAAGAAAGTAGTCTGTAAGGAATGGCCAACTTACCAGAATCGATATGGGGAGACTCATTGTCAGTAGCGGGTGCAAGCACGTCTACTGCCGTTGATGCCGAAAAATTGGCGTCGTTGGAGCAGTGGATTAAGGCTCTCCAATCCCATGAAACCCGAGAACGTGCTCTCATTGTCCTTTCTAAGGTAAAAACTCTAAACAATTTGTTTGGTAACCGAGAAAACCTCGGAGAAAAAAGAAAGATGGCAGGAAAGAGAATTCGAACCATGCAATATCCATTTGTTAATTGATATTTGTTTTCTTGGTAAACAAACAAGTCCACAGACCCTAAGTCGATATTGTATCACCGTTACCGCATAATGTTCTATTCTTTCTTTCTTTGTTTCTTGTTTCTTTTTTTTTCTTTTTTTCGGTTGGGGGGGGGGGGGATGATTAGCAAGTAGCTAATTATTATTTTTATTCATCTCTGAGTTCTTGATCATGAACTAGATTAATATATAAGGGAGATCCTTTATTGGTTTAAGATATGAATACTGATTTGAATCTAAAGTATTGAGAAACATGATCACATTATAATGTATTTACTTTGCGAATATGTGAAGTGCTGTTTGTAGGTGCATACCTTTTATTTTCCTTTTCTTGATGTTAATGTAACACCTTCTTTAATTTATCCAATTTGATGTGTTAATAAGTTCTAAGGATTCGGATGAGGAAAATGTTATCCTTACAAAGACTCATCAAAGGTTACAAGTGACATCTCCAGAAGAAAAAATAAAGAAAAACGAAAAGAGAAATAAGGAGGGAGAGAAATCATAAACATTAAGGGTGTCTTTGTAAAACAGCATTGCTCTTCGGATGAGTAATTAAAGTCTTTGATCTCAACAGAGTTAGCGAGCCACGATACGTCATCTGTATGCAAGATCTATCAATTTTTATACATTTATTTTCACTTAGTACTTAACATCAATGATTTGTCGCTTTGAAATCAATGCATATATTTTTTATTTTTATTTTGATCACATAGTTTGTAGTTAGGGCTCTGACACCTGGAATTTATATATGACATTTATCATGATAGTAAGATCAAATTTTCTATCTGTCCCAACTAATTTCTTCTGAAGCCAGTTGATAAAAAAAAAAAAAAATATGGTATTCACATGTATGCCAGAATGTGTGTGGTGTAGCATACTACTTTTAAAGATTCTTATGTTAATATAACTGTTTTTCCGGATTGAATTATTTGTTATTAGATCACTACATATAGTGATAATGTTAAGACAATCTTGAACATATTTTTTTTTTTCCAGATGAGAGAAAATCGTGAACATTTGGCGCCATTGTTTGGATTCATTTGGTACAATTGCTCTGCTGTTACAGGTAGGGTATGCCATTTGGCTTCATATTCAATGATGCCTCCTATCAGTAATAGATTTTACTTGTAATGCATCTCATACTAGTATTTTCCCTGCTTTTAGTGTTATAAACCCTTCAATTCGGAGAGTTATTGCAGCATACAATATATTGATAATGACGCTGATCACAATATTGTTTTATCATTATTCGGAAATAATATCGTATACGTCTTGCTATCTTCTTCAGCTCTTACAGAAAGAACATCAAGCAGGGCATCTCATGCTCTTGCTCTATTTCAGTGTGTATTCTCACATTTCAATTTCTTCTTCAACCCCTCCCTAAACACCCAACATATATATGTTTTTCTTATTATTCCTTTCAGGTTTGATGATATGTTGAGGAAATTTGTAGTCTTAACCCTTTCAAATTTCACTAAACCACCATTGTCCCTATGTTTGATGTGGACACAGTTTCTGATCTTTGGTGGTCCCAGATGGTTTTTCTAATACAAATTAATATTTTAGCGACAAGATAATAGTATCAGAAAATAGTGCATAAAAATACTCTAGGTGAGAGGTTTATACATTGGCTCAAGGCCTACCACCCTTGCTTTAGCAGCCAATTAGCGAAATGCTAAATGGTCAAGAAACAATACCACCTAAGGAGAGTATTATGCTCCTATGTTTGTTGACCTGACATTACTACTAGTTTTTTGTTTACCAATTTCAGTATAGTGAGCATATGATGCTTTATGCATTCTAACCATCCAATCACCATGGCATATAACTGATGCATCATTTTTTTCTGCAGTGTGTGCATCCACCCTGATACAGGAAGAAGTTTCTCAACGGTACTTAATATTTCTTATCCTTCAATGTACAAGAACTTAATGGCTTCAATCTTGTGAAGTTCAAGTAATATCTAGTTTGGTTAAATATACTAGAGTGATCAAATTAGCAGATATAATGAAATAATTTAAAGAACATATTTTAGAATGATAGTCTTTAAATTTTAATGTGTAATATCCTTTGGCAGTGCATACTTTACAAATTCTGTTTCAATTATTCAGCACAATTTTTATATGATTCTTATGGTGTTTGACTTTCACATAGACCAACTGATTATCTAAATCTCCAGTAGTAATAATGCATGAGCTTCACCTCGAGGCCTCTCAAGAATTTTCTTCCACGTTAATGATTGGGAGATTATCAATCATGCAAACTTGATATATTGTATTCAAGAGTATTGATTTGATTCTAAGATCGTGTCATTAATTCGTCAAGTATTTAGGAGGAGGACCTCTTTAATGGTTGAATATTATTTTTTGCAGCCAGTGCCGCTGTATCTTACCCCTTTCTGAACATAGGAACAAAAAAGTCCCATGAATATCTAAGGCTTGCCAGCTTAGGTGTGATGGGTGCCCTGGGGAAGGTGGCTATTCTGCTCTGTTGCTCTTTGCTTTCTTGACTTACTGTTAATTCTTACTTTATAGATTCTGTTTTCTATTTGAAAGTAAAAAAAAAAAAAAGGTGTACCGAATTTTTTCATTCTGTGCAGTCAAATGATCCGAGTTTATGTTTTATTTATTAATTTCCTTCTTGATACTCGAATATTTCCTTGTTGCCTGGTCTGCATGGAGGTGGGCACTGAATTATCAAAAACCGTAAGTATCTGAAACTTCTTGAACAATAGTTAATGTATAGTACAGCACTTGCGTATGTTGACACCCAAATATTTCCTTGCTGCCTAAGGATCCAAGAAAGGGATGAAGAAGGATCCTCTTCAGTGATTGAAATCTCTTGATTTGTTTCAAAATTATGATATATGGGCTTTACAATGAGCACATTTAAAGCATTTTTTTTTCTTTTCTTTTTAAACATATTTATTGACTTCTATGAGTCTAGAGAATTATCGTTGAAAATGTGCATGTCTCTGAATACTAATGAATTCTGCTTATATATTAACTTTCACAGGTTGCCACATTTATTGTTCATAAAATCTTATCAAATGATGAGGGTTTGAGGTATTGCTGTACTTTTGCTGAACGGTTTTTCGCAGTGGCTCATAGTTTGAGAGAGATGGTTGAAAAAGTTGCTGAAGAACCCTCCCAACGGCTGCTAAAGCTTATTATTAGTTGTTTTTTTAGACTCTCAGAAAATCCGAGGTTAGTAGAGTTTAAATGCCTTGCTAATACTATTCAAATGTGCAACGTCAAACTAAGATTTTTATTTTGACATGTAGGGCATGCGATGGACTAAGATGCTGTCTTCCTAGGAGTTTAAAAGACAACACCTATTTTGGCCTACTACAAGTATGCTCTTTGATAACCTTTCTTCTTCCTGTTAGCTACTTTGAAATTTCTTAGTAAAGTGGGAGTATTTGTTTTATTATTTTGGATATGATTTTTGAAAAAGTTAGAGTTGGATAGTTATTACGAGGTAGGATTTGAAAATTAACAAAAACTCTCTTTAAGTTTGTTTATTTAACTAAACACTCTTACAATAAAACATTGAAAATTAACAAAAACATCTCCACCCGTCCATTAAATGCCGGCCACCATCGTCAGAGGGTGGTCGGCAGTCGCCGTAGTTACGCATGATCGATTAGATCTAGCCGGTCGTGCACAGATATGGCTTTTTTCGGCCAGATCTGGCTACGTTTGGTCATCAATGACAGTCAAAGATATGACCATCGTTGACGACCAGTTATGGCAAAAAATCTGGCATTTTCTGGCCAGATCCATAGTGGATCTGATCGAAAAAAGCTAAATCGATGCACTGCCGATCAAATCCATTCAGTAGTATGCCATTACGCCAAATTCCAGCCATCTTTCGACAGTGGTGGCGGGAATCTAGCAAATGTGGGTGAGGGGGGGTGTTTTTATCAATTTCTAAACTTTTTTCTTTTGAGGTTGTTTAGTTAAATTAACAAACCTAAGGGGTTTAAAAATAATTGAATAAAATAGAATTGGATTTTCAAAATAGGGAAACAAATTGTATGTATTTTGGGTATGATAGAAATAGGATATGATAGAAATAATGAAACAAACGCATATTTTGTACCATATCTATTCTGGAGTAAAACTGTTGTTTATAATAAAAACAAAAATGTGGTCTATATTGCTATTCATACACATGTTATGATGTAGTGGAATTGTCATTTAGCAATCAATATGTTATTCTAGATATAAGCATGAGATAATTAATCAAAATTCATTTTTTCTGTTCATCTCCTTATATAGCCCTTCCAGAAAGAAATTTCTTAAATTTTCTGTCCCTGTACATCAAACAACATTAGATCTTCACATTTACTGTGTAAGGGGATGAGACGTCATCTGTATGCAAGATCTATCAATTTTTATACATTTATTTTCACTTTAGTACTTAATCATCATTATGATGATTTGTCGCTTTCGAAATCAATGCATATATTTTTATTTTTATTTTGATCATCATAGTTGTAGGGCGAATAATAATTGTCAAATTTAGATCTCGTTTGACACGTAGTCAGAAAATAAAGAAATATCTAATTATCATAAGAAACAACAAAAAAATGTCCTATTGCTGTAGTTCAATTCTTATGACCTTATGTAGTTAGAGGCTCTGGCACCTGGAATTTATATATGACATTTATCATGATAGTAAGAGTCAAATTCTCTATCTGAATCCCAATCTAAATTTCTTTCTGAAGGCCAGTTTGATAAAAAAAAAATCATGGTATGTCACATGTATGCCAGAATGTGTGTGTGGTGAGCATACTACTTTTAAAGATTCATTTATGTTAATATAACTTGTTTTTCCGGGATTGCCAGTATTGCCACTACATATATGGTGATAATGTTAACGATCAATCTTGAACATATTTTTTTTTTTTTTTTTCCAGATGAGAGAAAATCGTGGACATTTGGCGCCATTGTTATGGGATTCATTTGGTACAATTGCTCTGCTGTTACAGGTAGGGTATGCCATTTGGCTTCATATTCAATGGATGCCTCCTATCAGTAATAGATTTTACTTGTAATGCATCTTACATACTAGTATTTCCCCTGCTTTTTAGTGTTATAAACACTTCAATTCGGAGAGTTATTGCAGCATACAATATATTGATAATGACGCTGATCACAAATATTGTTTTATCATTAATTCAGGAAATAATATCAGTATACGTCTTGCTATCTTCTTCAGCTCTTACAGAAAGAACATCAAGCAGGGCATCTCATGCTCTTGCTCTATTTCAGGTTGTATTCTCACATTTCAAATTTTCTTCTGCAACCCCCTCCCTAAACACCCAACATATATATGTTTTTCTTATTATTCCTTTCAGGTTTGATGGATATTGTTGAGGAAATTTGTGATCTTAACCCTTTCAAAATTTTCACTAAACCACCATTGTCCCTATGTTTGATGTGGACACGGTTTCTGATTTTTGTGGTTCTTAGTACTTGGCCAGGTTTTGGATGGTCCCAGATGGTTATTCTAATACAAATTAATTAATTTTAGCGACAAGATAATAGTATCAGAAAATAGTGCATAAAAATAACTCTAGGTGAGAGGTTTATACATTGGCTCAAGGCCTACCACCCTTGCTTCTAGCAGCCAATTAGCGAAATGCTAAATGGTCAAGAAACAATACCACCTAAGGAGAGTATATATGCTCCGTATGTTTGTTGACCTGACATTACTACTAGTTTTTTGTTTACCAATTTTCAGTATAGTGAGCATATGATGCTTTATGCATTCTAACCATCTCAATCACCATGGCGTATAACTGATGCATCATTTTTTTTTCTGCAGTGTGTAGCATCCCACCCTGATACAAGGAAGAAGTTTCTCAACGGTACATTAATATTTCTTATCCTTCAAATGTACAAGAACTTAATGGCTTCAATCTTGTGAAGTTCAAGTAATATCTCAGTTTGGTTAAATATACTAGAGATGATCAAATTTAGCAGATATAATGAAATAATTTAACACGAACATATGTTTAGAATGATAGTCTTTAAATATTTAATGGTTAATATCCTTTGGCAGTGCATACTTTACAAAATTCTGTTTTCAATTATTCAGCACAATTTTTATATGATTCTTATGGTGTTTTGACTTTCACATAGACCAACTGATTATCTAAATGCTCCAGTAGTAATAATGCATTGAGCTTCACCTCGAGGCCTCTCAAGATATTTTCTTCCACGTTAATGATTGGAGAGATTATATAATCATGCATAACTTGATATAGTTATTCAAGAGTATTGATTTGATTCAGCTAAGATCGTGTCATTAATTCGTCAAGTATTTAGGAGAGTGGACCTCTTTAATGGTTGAATATTATTTTTTGCAGCTCAAGTGCCGCTGTATCTGTACCCCTTTCTGAACAATAGGAACAAAGAAAAGTCCCATGAATATCTAAGGCTTGCCAGCTTAGGTGTGATTGGTGCCCTGGTGAAGGTGGCTATTCTGCTCTGTTGCTCTCTTTGCTTTCTTGACTTACCTGTTAATTCTTACTTCTATAGATTCTGGTTTTCTATTTGAAAGTAATAAAAAAAAAAAAAAAAGAAAAAAAGAAAGGTGTACCGAATGTTTTCATTCTGTGCAGTCAAATGATCCAGAAGCTATTAATTTCCTTCTGGAGACTCGAATATTTCCTTGTTGCCTGGTCTGCATGGAGGTGGGCACTGAATTATCAAAAACCGTAAGTGTCTGAAACTTCTTGAACAATAGTTAATGTATAGTACAGCACTTGCGTATGTTGACACCCAAATATTTCCTTGCTGCCTAAGGATCCAAGAAAGGGATGAAGAAGGATCCTCTTCAGTGATTGAAATCTCTTGATTTGTTTCAAAATTATGATATATGGGCTTTACAATGAGCACATTTAAAGCATTTTTTTTTCTTTTCTTTTTAAACATATTTATTGATTTCTATGAGTCTAGAGAATTATCGTTGAAAATGTGCATGTCTCTGAATACTAATGAATTCTGCTTATATATCAACTTTCACAGGTTGCCACATTTATTGTTCATAAAATCTTATCAAATGATGAGGGTTTGAGGTATTGCTGTACTTTTGCTGAACGGTTTTTCGCAGTGGCTCATCTTTTGAGAGAGATGGTTGAAAAAGTAGCTGAAGAACCCTCCCAACGGCTGCTAAAGCTTATTATTAGTTGTTTTTTTAGACTCTCAGAAAATCCGAGGTTAGTAGAGTTTAGATGCCTTTTTAATACTATTCAAATGTGCAACGTCAAGTTAAGATTTTTATTTTGACATACGTAGGGCATGCGATGGACTAAGATGCTGTCTTCCTAGGAGTTTAAAAGACAATACTTTTTTTGGCCTACTACAAGTATGCTCTTTGATAACCTTTCTTCTTCCTGTTAGCTACTTTGAAATTTCTTAGTAAAGTGGGTGTGTTTGTTTTATTATTTTGGGTAGGATTTTTGAAAAAGTTAGAGTTTGATGGTTATTACAAGGTAGGGTTTAAAAATTAACGAAAACACCTCATAGGTTTGTTAATTTAACTAAACATCCATACAATAAAACATTGAAAGTTAACAAAAACATTTCCACCCAGGCACCCACCCATTAAATGTTAGCCACCACCGTCGGAGGGTGGTCGGCAATCATCGTAATGGCGCACGACCGATTAGATCTAGCCGGTCGTGTACCGATATGACATTTTTCGACTAGATCTGGCTACGTTTGGTCGTCAACGATAACCAAAGATATGACCGTCGTTGACAACTAGCTACGGTCAAAGATCTGGCCTTTTCCAGTCAGATCCACAGTGGATCTGATCAAAAAAATTTAGATTTGTGCACTACCGGCCAAATCCATTCGGTAGTACACTATTACGCTAGATTCCGACCACCTTCCGACAATGGTGGCCGAAGTCTGGCAAATGTGGGTGGGTGGGGATGTTTTTGTCAATTTCTAAACTTTTTTTTCTTTTGGTGCTGTTTATTTAAATTAACAAATCTAAGGGGTTTAAAAATAATTGAATAAAATATAATTGGATTTTTAAAATATGGAAATAAATATGTATTTTGGGTAGGATAGAGATAGGATATGATATAAATAATGAATCAAAAACATATTTTCTACCACATCTATTCTGGAGTAAAACTGTTGTTTATAATAAAAACAAAATGTGGTCTATATTGCTATTCATATTCATGATATGATGTAGTGGAATTGTCATTTAGCAATCTATATGTTATTCTAGATATAAGCATGAGATAATTAATCAAAATTCATTTTTTTTGTTCATCTCCTTATATAGCCCTTCCAGAAAGAAATTTCTTAAATTTTCTGTCCCTGTACATCAAACAACATTAGATCTTCACATTTACTGTGTAAGGGGGCACCACTTCCCTTAAAAGGAATATAAACATCTATAATATTGCCAAGGGAGAGAGGGCAAAGTTCTGAATCTCTTGATCTGTTAGTTTTGGAAGAAACCAGTAAGTGTAAGCTTACAACTATAAATTTTTGGTGATGCTCAGGTATTGTTATGTATTAGCATGATTATTATTTTGAAAATTCACAATTTTTATTTTCCTTGAACCTCTTCTTCTGCTTCTCTCACTTTTAGGGTGATCCAACAACCACGGACTGCCTTAAAAGATTGATTAAGAATGTCTCAGCCAGAGAACGTTCTAGGCCACTAGCTGTTGGGGAATCGCATGGACGCGTCAGAGGCTAGGGCACACTCTGACTTTTTCATCTGATAGTAGCTATGTCCTGCTATCAATGTTCATCCAGATACTGTTTGTGTTAAAGAGACATGTAGTTTATTGTAACCCTAAACCTGCGCATCTTTTACTTGTAAACCAAATTTAGGCCATACTTGCTGCCTAATAGATTTCAATTCATCTTTCTGAATATGTGGATTGTTGTTGCTGTGCTTAATCCGCTTAAAAGTTACATCTCTTGATTTGACTTTATCCTTCTGAATATGATGCAACTAATGTGGATGTTATAAAATGTTTACCTTCACACAAACACACACCCACATCTTAATGCTTAAATAACGCAGCTATACACAGCTCTGCCTATGATCCAGATTCATCAGGATGAATTGAAGAAAATATTAGGAGATGCATAAATGTTTGTTTCTGCAATCATACAACTCATCTTGAGTTTTTCCAAGACCAGTTTGAAAATGAGACTAAATTTTCTGCTATGGGAGAAAGATTGCAAAAGCAATGGACAAGTTTGGTTCATCAGTTTCGCATTTTTTGCTATTATTTTCCCTGCTTGTATAGCTAGACATTGCAAACGTAGAGGACAAAAGCTTAAAAATTAGATTCAAGAAGATGGCTCTCTCAATTTTTCAAAAATTTAATTTCTTGTTCCAAATTTGCGAATGTCCATAAAAATGAGGTACAAAAAAACTAAGTATTATAAGACATTTTTATCTCACATATTGAATTATATCAATTCCAACATGGCTAAAAGATACTAATCAGTACACAAAGGAAGAGCATAACTGTTTTGGAGAAAAAAATAATCAAAGAAACGGCTAGAAAATGAAGCCATATGCCGACTTTACTACATTAAAGAATACTGGAATATGGATCAAACAAAATAGATTACAGAGTGGACAACAAACACTATATACTGATTAACTAAAGGGCAAAAAAAACAAAAAAAGTGTTTCAATGTTTAGAAAATGAACCACATTCATCTTGTTTTGATGGAACCGAGAGATTACTAGCAAGCATGAATGATAGGTCATGCATCTGTGACATTAGCATCTCTACATCATTAGTCGTTGTCTTAGTGGTTGTATTTGAAGCATCTTCACTTTTTGCAGCTTCTCTAGCATTTCCTCCATTTGTTGTGTTAACATCAGGAATTCTGAAACATGAAAACATAAGATATGAGAAAGGTTTACTTGCTCAATCTGTGTTTGAAATGCAGAACTAGAGGAGGGCCAACAAATTATTATACATGTTGCAGGCAAAATCATTCTCAATTAAGCCTTTTTACTATTTTACAAGTTAAACTCATCCAGGAACTAAACATGGAGTAACAAGTGAAATTCTTCAATATCATGCAAATTCTAAAAGTCCTTCACTTACCTTCAATTCACTAAAACTCTTAATCCCAACATCTACCTTGAATTATGTCCTTTAGCAAAACCCAGTGGTTCACAGATTGAAGCACCAAACATCCTGCACCATGTCTGCCGCAACTACCTTGCAAAACTAAGTTTTTGCTAGAAGTGAATCTCTGCTACCCTTATCCTAAGTGTTATATAACCTGAGAGAGAGTGTGTGTGTGTGTGTGTGTGTGAGAGAGAGAGAGAGAGAGAGGTGTGAAAATATGATAAGAGTATTGATACTATCTTAAAACTAATAAGTCTTGAGTACCACCTAAAGATTTCAGGTTAGTGTCCCATGCAATTTAGCAAGTGCTTTGAAAATAAAACTTAAATTCGAGTAATTCTAATCCACAGAAAGAAAAGGCAGCTCGAATATACAAACCTTTTTGAGACTGAAGGCTCTGACTGCATAATATTAACTTCTTTAGAGGCATTTTGATCACTGAATTCTCCTGAAAAGAAATGTGCTTGAGAAAAACTACCAAAATCATCATTCTGCACATTGTTATTAGTTCCTATGAACTTCATCTCTGAAGTCTGCGCAACGGATGGTGCCACATGATTAACAGATTGTTTAATAGAAGGATCCTGAGCACTAGTTGAGCTTGTAAAACCATTCCAAGCATCAAATGAATCATAGTCTTCCTCAGTAATTTTATCACCAGGGGCCTTGTTGCTGCTGGTTTGCCCTTGATCAACTTGAAACCAATCAAAAGAAGAATTATTCACCTCCTCAACATTTGCAGTGATTTCAGACTGTTTGGCTGGAGCAGTTTGTTCGTTAGGAAAATCTTGCACACTTGTTGAGCCTGTAAAATCATTCCATGTATCAAATAAATCTTTGCCCTGATCAATGGTTTTACTATCAGGAGTCTTGTTGCTGCTAATTGGCCAATGATCATCTTGAATCAAAGCAATACTTGTGAACTTATTGGCATTTCCCACCATTTTATCATCCTTAATGGTTGTAGTCACTTCAAACTGCACGGCCTGACCAGATTGGTTCTTAGAAGAANAGCCATGCAAATTCTAAAAGTCCTTCACTTACCTTCCATTCACTAAAACTCTTAGTCCCAACATCTACCTTGAATTATGTCCTTTAGCAAAAACCAGTGGTTCACAGATTGAAGCACCAAACATCCTGCACCATGTCTGCCCCAACTACCTTGCAAAACTAAGTTTTTGCTAGAAGTGAATCTCTGCTACCCTTATCCTAAGTGTTATATAACCTGAGAGAGAGTGTGTGTGTGTGTGTGTGTGTGAGAGAGAGAGAGAGAGAGAGGTGTGAAAATATGATAAGAGTATTGATACTATCTTAAATCTAATAAGTCTGAGTACCACCTAAAGATTTCAGGTAAGTGTCCCATGCAATTTAGATGCAATTTAGCAAGTGCTTTGAATATAAAACTTAAATTCGAGTAATTCTAATCCACAGAAAGAAAAGGCAGCTCAAATATACAAACCTTTTTGAGACTGAAGGCTCTGACTGCATAATATTAACTTCTTTAGAGCCATTTTGATCACTGAATTCTCCTGAAAAGAAATGTGCTTGAGAAAAACTACCAAAATCATCATTCTGCACATTGTTGTTAGTTCCTATGAACTTTATCTCTGAAGTCTGCTCAACGGATGGTGGCACATGATTAACAGATAGTTTAATAGAAGGATCCTGAGCACTAGTTGAGCTTGTAAAACCATTCCAAGCATCAAATGAATCATAGTCTTCCTCAGTAGTTTTATCACCAGGGGCCTTGTTGCTGCTGGTTTGCCCTAGATCAACTTGAAACCAATCAAAAGAAGAATTATTCACCTCCTCAACATTTGCAGTGATTTCAGACTGTTTGGCTGGAGCAGTTTGTTCGTTAGGAAAATCTTGCACACTTGTTGAGCCTGTAAAATCATTCCATGTATCAAATAAATCTTTGCCCTGATCAATGGTTTTACTATCAGGAGTCTTGTTGCTGCTAATTGGCCAATGATCATCTTGAATCAAAGCAATACTTGTGAACTTATTGGCATTTCCCACCATTTTATCATCCTTAATGGTTGTAGTCACTTCAAACTGCACGGCCTGACCAGATTGGTTCTTAGAAGAATCTTGTGCACTAGCTGAGCTTGTAAAATCATTCCAAGTATCAAAGAGATCATCAACAGTTTTATTCTCAGGTGCCTTCTTACTCGTGGTTTGCCATTGATCATCTTGAAACCAATCAACATTCATGGAAGAAGAATTTTTAGCATTTTCCATCTCACTGTCCTTAATATTCGCATTCACTTCAAGCTGCTTGGCCTGGTCAGTTTGTCTGTTAAATGTATCTTGTACACTATTTGAGCTTTCAAAATCATTCCAAGCATTGAATGGATCATCTCCTTCATTAATGACTTTATTATCAGGAATTTCAATGTTGTCAGTTTGCAGTTGGCCGCCTTGAACCAAATCAATACTTCTGGAGGACGAATTATTTGCTTTCTCCGCTTCTCCACCATGTTTAACAATTGCAGTCACTTCAAACTGCTTGGCCTCACTAATATTAGTAGGATTTTCCACAGTAGTCGAGCCAGTAAAATCATTCCAAGCATCAAATGAATCATCTTCGTCGTGAATGGCTGTCTTATCAGGTGCACTGTTGCTTTCACTTTTCCATTGTGCATCTTGAATAAAATCAATACTCATGGAAGAAGAATTATTCACATTGTCCAGTGTTCCAACATCCTCCGTTGTTGCAGTCACATCAACCTGGTTTGATTTGCCTAATTTTTCAGAGTTGGAACTACTCCATAGGTCATCTTGAAGCCCGTCATTAGTTTTGATTGCACAAGAACCGATATTTTCAGATCCAAACACTGCATCCATGTGGGCAGAAAGATCTACCGACGACCCGACAACAGGATCATCCAATTTAGATTCCTCACGAGCATTTCCATCATCAGCAGATTGGAAGCTGGCCTCCCAACCATCAAATGAGTCACCACCACTCTCGTCCTCCGTAGACCTCACAACCGGCTCAAAACGCTTAACATTCTCTAAAGAACTATGACCCCGAACTTGAAAATCATTATCTCCACCACCATCATCATTTCGGTCTTCCACCACCTGCTGTTCCGAGACAGTGTCTTTTTTACCTTCAGTGAAAATGTTGTCAAGATTGATACCAACTAAATGCAAAGGACTTTTATAACTCTCACTCTCAACTTTTTCCAACTCAGGCTGCCATTTTATTTCCAAATCTAGAAAATCCGACAACGGAAACTCTTCCTGTCCGGTATTCTGTGCTCTGTTTAATTCCTTTGCTTTAACAGGCACCCCAGCAATCTCCTGCAACACAGAGTCCCAGTTCAAACAACACATCATTCATGCACTAGAAATACACTTCTCATACCACTCAACTTACCCAAAAATACTTAAACAAACAAACAAACAAACAATAGCATCAGCAAATTGAAGACACCGCTTTGTATCCTATATTACAAAAATTAAAATTTGTTAAAAATTCAATAGATTTTTTTTTGGTAAAAAAAAAAAAAAAAAAAAAAAAAGGGACTTACCGATCCATCTAACGCAAGGGATTGAAGTAACCAACGGCATCCAAACGTGGACTTGAAATTAATAGGCTCAGGTGCCGTTTCTTGTTGAGCTTGTTGTTTGCCGCAAAACATGCAAATTAAAGACATTACGCCTCTGAGAAGTCTTCCCTTGCAATGCTTGCATCGGAGATATTCGGGAGACGGGTCAAGCTCAGAAATGGAAGACTCAAACGACGGTAAGTTGGGAACCGACGCGTCGTCTGGATCGTATGATGAGAGGTTGGCTTCTTTGAGAACTGCGATCTGTACTTGCTTGATTAGATCGTACGGAATTTCGACCGACATTGTTAGGGTTTGTGAGATCCAGATCGGTAGTTTGGGATTGGAAGGTGGTTATGTTTCAGTGTTACCAGAACTGAGCTTCAATTTTTCTGTAAACGCTGTCGTTTCCAGCGTTGCAGATATTGAACGCTGCGTTTCACTTGTGGTTCTCAAGCTCTCCTGATTTTATAGTTATGTTTTCAGTTTTTGTTATTTTTAGAGTGCGTTTAGTTTAGAAAATGTTGGATTATTGGAAAGTTAAATTACTTGAAAATCATTGGAAATATTTAGAAAAATATGTTTGGTTAATTGATAGGTATGTTATATTAATATGTTTGGTTGGGAGAAATAAATTGGTGGGTATATTATTTAAATTACTGAATTATCCTTTAATTAAATATTATTATTATATTATTTTTTAATATTGATTATTATTTGGATTATTATAAACCCCCGCATTTAAAAACTTAGCAAAAATAATCTCATAATAAAAGTTTGGAAAATCAACAAAGCACTCCTACCAACCCAGCCATTGTCGGTCGTCGATAACCACCAAAGGCTGCCAACAATCTAATGACGCACAGAAGGCAGGAAATGGTATCCGTGTGCCGTAGGCCATTTCCAACCAGATCTCTAGCCGGAAATGGCCAGACATGACAGATCTGGCCATTAATGGCCAGATCAATTATGGATCTGGCCGTCAATGGCCATTGATCTGGCTGTCATCACTATCTGGCCATTTTCGACCATGTATTTGGTTGGAAATGGCCATATCAGCTCACGACGGCTATTTTCGCCCTTCCGTGTGCCGTTCCGACGGACAGCGGCGGCTAGCCGTAGTGGTGGTTTTCCGACGACAGGTGGGTGGGGGTGGTGGCTTGGGTGAGTTGCAATTTGTTTTGAATTCAAGGGTAATTTTGTCCAAAAAGTTAATTAATTTGGGTGAAATAGTAAAGTCATATTCATGTAAATAATTTAAAAATAAGGGCATTATTGTCCTAAAATTTTATTAATAAAGGATAAAATTGTAACAATAAAAGATAATCTTGGTAATCTTAGAATACCTAAGAAAATTGAAGTAATTTGATTACCTCCAATATTACCAATAGTAATCACTATTGGTATTTGAAGATTACCAGTATCTTATATTACTTAACAACCAAACATAGTAATAAAGTAATATAAAATGACTTAACTCCAATAATCTCACATAACTCTCAACCAAACGCCCCCTTAAAATGGTGAATTAACATAGATTTGGATTAGTTTACTATGTTTGGTTGGATTTTTGAACTACCTAGATTTAACCGTTAGTTCATTTCAATTTTTACCATCAGTTATGCATATGCTAAAATAAATTACAACATTATATTATTCAATAAAAATAATCTTGAATAAAATAATTAATATTAGTAATGCATATGTTAAACTTAAAAGAAAAAAAAAAAATGTTAATGTAAGAGGCATGAGATCAAAAATCTTCTTACATCTAAAAAATAACACAAATCTTTATGTGTTGGTGAATAGTTGAACTTACCATCGATAAATATTTACTTAATTAATTTTTTATCTTTTATTTTAATGCCTAAAATTTAAAAGATTTTTTTTGTTTTCACATATTAAGGGTTGATTTGTTATGATTTAAACCATATAATGAATTTCTCTTTTACCCTTAGATGGTTAGTTAAAAATGTAGGGCGTGTGATAATTTTAGTGGTGTAATTGCAAGAAAAAAAACTAAGAAAAGATCGCAAAAAAAGAGTAGAATAAAAAGGGCTGAAATAAGAAAGCTTTTATTAAACTTAGGACTTACCTGTAACTTTCAAAAACATGAGGGCAGTAGGTTAAATTCGTCCATAAACTGGCTCTGGGCCTCAGTTGTGTGTTTATCATGAGGCCTGGGGCTAATATACATATAAAATACGTATAATTCATCAGTTAACAGTGCTCTGTGCTTTGCCGGTGATTGACAGCCCAATTCTTTACCGCGTAGAGCCGCTAAATTATTATAAAATACCAAGATAGGAAGAAGAAGAAAAGCAGGGGCGAAAGGTCTGATCACTCTCCATAGACATGGCGATGAACCAAGCGGCAATACTGAAAGTAGGTTTGGTTTTTATGGGAGTGTGCTTGTTCGGTTATATAGTGGGTCCACCTTTGTACTGGCACTTCATGGAGGGTTTAGCGGCTGTGAGCCGTTCCTCCACCACCTGCGATCCTTGCCGTTGTGATTGCTCCTCTCAGCCTCTCCTCTCCATCTCTGACGGTATTTTCCTTTTTACCCTCCGATCTTCCCAGATCCATGATTTCCTCGCTTTCTTTCAGATCTGCACTCTAATTTTGTTTTTTTCTTCTGTGATTTCAATGCTAGTAACCTTTTCTACTATAATTCTTACTTCGATTAACTTGAAAAAAAATTCTAAATTTTTTTATTCAGGTTCCTGTGGGTTTGTATGTTTGTAAATTTTATTTAAAGCATTATAGATTTTAGATGGACCAGAGTTTACCATAATTCTATAAGAAAAACAAATACTTTAACAGTATTAAGTATTGATTATTAATGTATTGGTCATGACTGAGTATGCGAAATTTGTTCTTAATAAGTGTTCAAGTTTTGCCTATTTCATATGTGTATTGATGGTTTTGTGCTGTGTGCACTCAAGTGTGTGTAGACTTGAGCAAGTATGTCTTAGTTTCTGAATTTGCATTTGATGTGAATGCATTGTGATGGCTTTTTGTGTGTGATATGTGTAACCAAATTCTGCATTTACATAATCTAATAAGTTGAGTTATATAGAGTTTTAACTTTCTGACGCTTTTTTCTTTTATTTGAATAAACATCGAACTTGTACTTATTTCAGTTTTTTTGTCCATGTTTGTGCAGGATTAAGCAATGCATCCTTCACAGGTTAGTTCCTTTATCAGGTGTCAAGTGTAGAGTAGGATGTTAATGATTTCATTTTCTTTGTCTATATTTTTGTTAAAAGTATATATGCATGGGACTAGGAACATAAATGATATTGTTACAATACCTAATACCCTTCAGTTCCAAACTATTCTACTAAATTGCATCTTGTTGCTTGGCCGGCATTAGAATGTAGCTTCAAATTCAATGAACTTTTAAGAAAAATTATGGGTTTTTGGGTATGAAAAAAGAAAAATGCAACTTGTGTTGTCTGGTTGTTTTCTTCTACTATTCCTAAGATTTACTTCCAAATGCAGATTGAGTTGTTTAAATGTTTGCATATCATGAAGAAAATGGTATTTGTTTTAGCAATTATGTACTAAAAGCCTTACCATTATATTTCTCTTTTACCCTTCTATAATGTCGGACTCAAACTAAATCTTATTGCCCATAAATGGCTTTTATACACTTACGAGAAGCTGTTTCTGTGGAACCAAATCCTGCTTTCTATGGAAATAAATTAAAGCAACCTTTTTATGAGGCCTAAATGTTTATATTTGAGTGCTTATAATTTGAGGACAGTCTGACTGCACTTTAAGATTATAAAGCGAAATGACATGTTAAACTAAATTATTAATGATGTGTGGTCATTTATCTATGTTTTGCGTATTCTCATCCTGATCCTAGTGTGTGTTGTTGTTCTTTGTTTTGCTTGAACCTACATTCACAGATAGGCAATACCAATCAAAGAACCCTTTGAAATAACTACTCATAATTAATGTTGGAAAAGTAACCCACCCGCCCAGCCTGGCCCGCGATGGGTTATTGGTTTTGGCGGGTCGGTCCTAACACGCTCGCTCCAATTTTTTTGGGATTGGTTGGCCTAGCCTGGCCCGCCAACCCTAACACGCCAGGTTAGGCTGCGAGCCTGGCTGGGTTAGCCCCCTTTTTTTATTTTTTATTTTATTTTGTTTTGTTTAGTTAACTTTTCAAATGAATAATTAACAATTTATAAATGAATAAATGTAATTGTTTTTAGTTAACTTTTCAAATATCAATAATTCAATTAAATTTTTTTTTTTTTTTTTGGTTAACATTTCAAATTAGATTTATTCATTTATCAAAAAATAAAATAAGAAATTATAATAATAATTGTCTCGTTAAAAACCTCACCAAGAAAAACCCAATGGGACAAAAACTTGGTAAAGAAAAAAGAGTGCAATAATTGACAATTAATTTACAAGTTACAATTTACAAAACAATTAATTTGTGGGTGATTTACACATACAATATTTTTATACAATATTATATGACCAAATAAGATTGAATGATTTTAAATTTAAATTAAACTTTTGAATGATTTTAAATTTAAATTAAACTTTCACTCAATCATCTTTTGCCACATAATGCTATATGAGAAATATTGTATGAGAAAAATATTGTATGAGAATGATGTATATGTAATATTACTCTTATCGGTTTGGGTCATCAATGATCAATTTGTTAATAAGTCGTTTTATAATGGGTCGTATTAGGTAGGGGTGTTCGGTTCTGGGTACCCTGCACTTTTTGAAGGAACCGGAACCGACGGTTCCTTAAAATTTGGAGCCAGAACCGAAACCGGAACCGAAAGGTTCCGGTTCTGGGTACCCTGTAAAATTCATTACCCCCCAAAAGTTTTTAAAATGATAAAAAAACCCTAAAAAACTTACAAACACCCACCCACCTGGCACTTATTAACAAAAATAAGATTACAAATTATAAATTCAAAATTACAAACTTCATTACTTTGTAAAGGTAGATTCTCAAAAGTCAAACCAACGTACTTTAAATGTTATGAAATATAAATATAAATGTATTCACATTAAACTTTCTACAAAAATTTTTATTAACCCCCCTAATCTTTAATTTTATTTTATATTAGTCTCGATTCCTAGTTCTTGGTTTCGGTTCCTAACTATAGGAACTGGAATCGCACAGTAACGGTTCCAAAAATTTGGAACCGGAACCTACCCATTGACGATTGGTTCTGGGTAGGTTATAGGAACTGGAATCGCACAGTAATGGTTCCAAAAATTTGGAACCGGAACCTACCCATTGACGATTGGTTCTGGGTAGGAACCGGAACCAAACCCAGGGTATTCGCCGGTTCTGGTTCCAATCGGTTCTTTTGAACACCCCTAGTATTAGGACTTAGTCTTAAAAAATGTTTGATTTTTTAATTAAATATATTTTAGTGCTAAAGTATTTAAAAATTTATTATAAATAATAAATAATATTTTGGATTATCTTTTTTATTTTTTTAAATTTATATAGTTTAATTGTAAAATGTGATGGTATCACAGTTTATTAGTATTTGTATACGGTTTTATTGATGAAACTTTAGTTAAAGAATGAATTATATTTTATACAAGACATGGAAATTTGAGAATAAGGCTTTGGTATTTAATTTTCTTATATTTTACGTATCATAAAAAATAATAATAACAATGTGTCAAGTTAGACCTCTCTTTGCAATTGCCCTTGAAACTAAACAAAAGGTTGCTGCTGTGGGCCTGTGGCCAATGTTCCCTGCAAAATTTAAAAAAAATAATTAATTTTTTATTTTTTTAAATTTTTTTTGGCCAACCCGTCGGATTGGCTATTGTAAACAAAATAACAACCAAGCCCGCCTAAGGGTTGCATGCGGGTTGAATCCTCTCTAAAGCGGGCCGGGTTAGGGTTTACCCGTCTAACCCGGCCCATTTGTTCCACCTTTACTCATAATCATTAATATCATTTCTGTTGAATGTGGATATAAAGTTCTGCAATTTTGTTCTTTTCATGACCTTTCGATTTAGGTATTATTTCAAGCTAAAAGTCCTTTTTTTTTTTTTAACTGTATATATTGGTTGGGGTTCAAATTTGTAAGTGACTGATGTACTTAGAGAGAGGATTGTTAAGTCTCTGTATCAAATTTATGATCTATTTGATGCCTTATGTGCACGCTCTGTTTGTAAAACCTATTTCTTTTGTCCAATTTGTGTCTATTGAGCAGATTGTGCAAAGCATGACCCAGAAGTGAGTGAAGACACTGAAAAGAATTTTGCAGAGCTACTGACCGAGGAACTGAAGCTTCGGGAAGCTGAAGCTCTGGAGAATCAACGGCGTGCTGATATGGCTCTGCTTGAGGCTAAGAAATTAACATCACAGTATCAGAAGGAAGCAGACAAGTGTAATTCAGGTATGGAAACATGTGAAGAAGCTAGGGAGAAAGCAGAAGCAGCATTAGAGGCACAGAAGAAATTGACAGCCACTTGGGAGCAAAGGGCTCGCCAGAAAGGATGGAAAGAAGGGATGACAAAGTCACGTGCTCAGACTCAGGGAGCTACCCAAGCTGCGTAGAAATTGGCCATGGTTTTGTATAAATATTCATGAGGTCTGATCCCAAGGGCATGACATTCATGAATTTGATGAACTCGTATTTAACTATCTCATTTATTTATATTGTGGTTAATAGTGAGTATAGGCATATTCTCAATTATGAAGCTCTTTGAAGGAACCAAATATGTATGGAAAAGCTCAAATTAGCTTGTTTTGTTGTGTTAGTTTCCATTTGTAACACTTAAAAAGTAGCCACGAGTAATGTGAAACAAAGGCGAGATACAGTAACAGTTATTTTTGCTAGTGAGCTTTAAGATTTGCAGTTCGGGTAATTGTATTTGTGGGCATTACACTCCCAAACTTGTGTCAGTCTGGATCTGCATACTATTCCTGATATAAAAGTAACCGTACAAAGTTTCCTGGCTGAAGGGTGCTATCCTAAAAGCAAGCCCAAAATCGATCCTTTTTGAAAAAGGTCTAAGCCTTCGAGTTGTGGGTTCGGTCTATTATGTTAGATAAATTGGTCCGTCTTTTGAATTTTTAAAAGAATTTGAACCATGAAAATATTATATAAAATCTACTCATATCTAATGCAGTTAAATTCAATACCCCATGCAGAGTTACCTTATCTTATAAAATCACCTTTAGTTATTACGTGAACAAATGTTCATTTTTTTTTCTAATTTTATTAAGTGTATTTATAATGATAATTAAATTTAAATATAACACAAATAAATTACTATATAAGTGCAAGCTTGAAATATTAATTGGAGACGGTACTTTATATGCTCCCAGGAAAATGATGTGAATGGAAAAGATACATGAAAGAAAACTTAAATGAGAGGTTCGACCCACACCATCACTACTCGTTCACTTCATTTCTTCAACTTTAAAAGACAATGGAACCCATCTCACTACTCTTTCGTCATCTATATAAATAACTAGACAAAACTATCATACACCAATCAACCATCACCATCACATCCTCACTCATTTTGCCTTTTCAATGGCTGTGATTGAAGAAGAGCTCCCACTGATTGATTCATATCTTTGAAATATGTATGCAACTATCAAACAAGCCGTGAGAGTAACAATATCTTTACCTGCACACTGTTTATTCGACTCGCTCGGTGACCCAGTCTGTGGCCCGTTAGACCAGTACAAGTAACTCAGTAACTCGCTCCCTTTTTCACCCATAAACCTGTCCGCTTTAAAACTCTCCGGATCTTCAAATACCTTCGAGTCTTTCATTACCTGAGGTTGGTACCCACAGAGCAGCTCACCTTTCTTAATATTATAAACCGAGTCATGCGAACTCAGTTGAAAATCCTTCCTTGCCCTACCATATTGAAGAGGGACTGGAGGGTTGAGTCTCAAAGTTTCATGAACAAAAGACTGAACAAGTTCCAAATTTTTCACCGACTCAAAACTCAAACCTGGTGATCCAACCTTTTCTTTAACTTCTTTTCTTAGTTTCTCTTGTATTCCAGTTTTATCACTAGCAATGGTACCGATCAAAGTTGGTAAAAACACAGAGAAACCACCAAACGCGTTAAACCCTAGCGTGAACAACAAGTTATGAATAGCTTCTTCTTTAGTGAGTCCAAACTCATTGACACCTCGTTGTACGACCTCGTTACCTTGTTTTTCAACGAAGTTATAAAGCTTGTTGTAGTCTCCACTTACTAGGGCAAAAGGGTATGCAAAAGAGTGGAGAAAGATCTCTTCAAGGGGTTGTAAGACTCCAATTTTGATGGTGGGGAGGATCTGGAGGGCAAGCCAGCGGTCAAGCATGGAGTAGCCGGAGTCGGCAATGTTAGGGTCGGTTGTGGGGTCAGCTCCGATGATGGCAGTGGTGAGGAAGTTGAACAAGCTTTTTTGTAAAGGGAATAAATAGCTTGCAGAACCCTTCTCGGAGATATCTGTTTCAACTGTGTCAAACAATATGTCAAGGTTTGATTTGAGTTCTGTAAGCCACACTGTTGAACTGCGTTTCAGAATGTCAATGACGAAGTTCTTGATCTGTGGAGAAGAAAGTGATGGTGTTAGTTAACTAACGTTCTTCAGCGGGAATATATATATATATATATATATTGAAACTAAAAATCTAGAAATTATCTTTTTATCATTACGTGTGAATTTTTGTTTCATCTGAGCTTAAACTAAATTAGTGTTGAAGATTCTCAGTTGAGATTTTAGAGAATTTGACATGTAAGAATATGATGGTGTTATTGGAAAAATAATGACGTGACGTTGACTATGTTGTGTCACGTGTGTTTATATATGACCTCAAAATTAAAAAATAAACATCAAAAGTGGTCCCTAGAATAGGACCACCAATAATAATGCCGTCTCTCAAACTGAAAGCTACCTTTCTTAATTTCTTACTAATTACGACACGCAGACAGCAGAAACAGACCATCCCTTAAATAGCTTCCATTTACACACCGTGGCTGGCAGCCAGCAACCATTCGCTAACAAACAACCATCATGAGCGACAGATCATCGAAAATTTATTTTTAGGCAACTAATTCAGTCATTCATTTAATTTCAGCCGATCATATCTTATCCCCCACTTGTAGAGTGTACACGAAAGTCTTCCAATATGGCCTATATATATATTTCTTCACATAAATGCAATGTTTTATTTAACAATTTAGTTTTTTTTCTTTTATAAAGAAAATGATTGTTTCCATATTACAGTTTTAAGATTTGATATTAAATTTGAATTATTTATTAAAAAAAATGATGTAACTATTCTCCAAAGAGAGGAAACATCAATTCAAGGCCAAACACCTTTTTTTTTTTTTTTTTTTTTTCAGGAGGTCTGAAACAGTTGGACACATCTTAACTAATCCTTCAAAATTTAAAGTTGATGAACAGGTAAGTCCCTCAATAACCACCCTATTAAGGTTTATTATAGAGACTCGAACTCAAGAGTTCATAAAACCTCTTTTAGCTCTTTTACCATCAGATCACCCAACGATAGTTGGTCAAACACATTTTGAATATAAATGTGAATGCCACCAAAAGATCATATAAATTACAATATTATTGTGATAAGTGGTCCCAAAGAGTTAGTCTAACGGTGCAAACCTCTTTTGAATTTTTAGGTTCAAATCTTGGTACCACCTATTAAAATAACATTGCAGTTCATTTAGACTAGACTAGTAATAACATTGCAGTTCATTTAGACTAGACTAGTAAGGTGTATTGAATATACCCGAAAATTAGTGGAAGGGTAGGCAACCAAGCTGACAAGACATATCGGTTAAAAAAAATTTGAATTTTAACATGCTAGTTGACAAACGATTACATATTGTTTCCCATAACTGTTATTTAAAATTAAGTATGACGATATCTGTAAAAATTGAAAAAAAGGAATATTCAGGTGAAGATCTTACTATATCAAGTATACAAAATGAAAGCTTTGGGATGAATGAGAAATCAGAAACCATAACCCAAACTCTGACGCCAGCAAACATAATTATATTGCACAAATTAGTGTTTAATTAGTAATTAGTTAAAAAAAATTGAATGAATGTAGACATTATTAATTATAAGCAAACTAATAATTAATTTTCTAGGGCTAGCTGAAGGTCATGAACCGTACGTACCTTAGCGTGTTGTGGCTCAGAAGTATCAAGATAAGCACAAGTTCTTAAATCTCCAGTAAATTTGGCACTAGGCATGAAATCGCCAATAAGAATATTCTTCTTCTCCACAATCTCCATATCAAAAAGATGCGAAAAAGACTTGCAGTCTAGAACAGCAATAACATTCGGGTTAACACCCAGAAAGAGTGGCCACGTTGGGGGCAAATTTGTTCGGAACACCGTGCTCTTGTGCTTCTCTATACGTTTCTTGAAGAAAGTACCAGGACCCTGGAACCAGAAGTAGTCGAGGCGGTCTGAGATGGGCCCAAGCAAAGGCCAACCGTAAGATCCGGGGATTGTACGAAGTGGGAGGGACGTTGCGGGAGGCGACACGGTGGAGAGTGGTGGCTGTGAAGACAAGGGTGATGATGAAGATGGCATGCCGGGAGTTAAACTCATGGATTTGATCATCATAGTGGTAGCGTTGAAGTTTGAACGATGGTTTGTTAGGTTTACTGAGAGAGAGTGCTTATGTTATATAGGATTTTGTTGATAAAAGCCAATGGATGAGTTGTCATTCAATATTGTGATGAGACAGCAACCACGGTACAAGAGCACGGTTAAGTTAATTTAATGACTTAATGTTATTTCACTAAGCTTATAAATTCTCTTGCTGTTCATATTACAAAAATACCTTTTTTTTTTTTTTTTTTTTTATCTTGACAAAATTATGTTGTTTATACATGTTGATGAAAGAATATATAATTTTATGTATATATTGGGAAACAATTATATCCGAAAAGGCAGGATAAATTTGTTATGAGTATAAACCATTAGAGTAATTATATTTATATTGACATTCGACCTTTGTACCTGATTAAAAACTTGTGCACTAAAATGTGGACGGTGAAGAAGAAAATATCTTGACAAGAGGACAACTTAAGTATTACCTCTTAGTTATTAACGCGTGACCTGTATTATTTCTGCCACCTGTCTTAGTCACTTCAAATTTCTGAAACACTGTATATGTAACTGACGCTACACCCTCCTCATGAAAATAATAGTAGACACGTTATAACAGCCATTACGCTTCATTTTATTTTTGTGTACAAGCACGTTTTAAGCAATTGTCCAGGTGAAAATGAACTGTTTTAACCAAGTTTTGGGAAAAAAAAATAATAAAGTTTTATATGTCGTTTTCTAATGAAAAATTACTAATCTCTCTTCACAAGCACTATTTAGACTATTAAACTGTCTTTCCATGAGTTGAGACTTGAGAGTACGGCAGTTCTTAACAGAAAATAAAAGGTTGCAAGGACGATCATTAGATCGAGTCACATGTATTTTCTATGACAAGGAGATTTGAGATGGAGCTCTAGGAGACTTGGACAAGCAAATTTTTGTGCACCATGCATGAGTTCGTTGAGGGACCTTCTCAAACAAAAATCTTCAAAGACGCCACTATTATTATTTTGTGTAACACGTTGCTATTGTGTGTTTCACGTGGAGAACCAAAGAGTTGTCTCAACTCTCAAGCACAGGATAGAAGGATGTGATGGACATATATCAAATTAGTTATCTGCCAATCAGCATGCAGATAGACAGACAGATCAAGACAAATTCACAAAAAAAGTTACAACTTTGTGGTACCCCAATTGAGTGTGTGAACGAGAGGCACAACAAGCTTAGGACATGCAGTTATCACTTCCACTAATTACACAAATACCATACACAAGCATCACAGACATTATGATTGCTTTACACTTCAGTAATTACTTGAATGCATACCATTTGAAGGAAGCTGTATACTAAGATCATCCAAGCTGGTGCAGCCGTGGATGCTCAAACCATGCTCATTAGCTAAATGTAATAGGCATATAAAACACAGATGAGGTGAGATATCCTTGACAGTTGCAGCAGCTCGGCAGTCGGTAGGAAATTTCGCCAAGAGGTGCCTGAATGATTGTGTCTCTTCTTGACCCTTTTCAAGAAACAAAATATCTAAATTAGAGATCACCATTATCCCAACTTTAATTCACTTAAGACGGTGTGGGTGCAAGAAGTCTTTGTACACCCATTCATAAGGTCAGTTACAACTAACATTCTATTATCACCACATGACGTTTGCCAAGAGCAAATCCTATTAGCATACCTCAACACCCATTTGAGCAGATTCCTGTATCTGATCCCATATAGTTTGTTTCAAAGTCTGAACATCAACTTGTTTAGAAGTTCTGTCATACTCAACTTCAATTTTTTGTATCTGAATGGTTAAGTTAAGAAGCAAAACGTAAGCACCAACTACAAAAAGTTTTCACCACATAGTGAATGTTTGAAATAACATTTTAAATCTGCATTCTTAAAAAACGTAGAGAATCAAAGGTCTTTGCGTCGTCTTGATACATAATATTACTAAACATAATACCATGGGTATATATGGTAACATCATTTCAAAGGGCATAGAATGCCCACATTCACAGTAATTGGAAAAGGAAGGGCTAAATAATAGACAAACCAACCAACCTGGCGAGGCTGAGAGACAAGTGTGCCGTCCTCCACATCACTTTGATCATTTCCGTCATCAAATTGGCAACCAAATGTTTCGTCGCCCCAGGATGGTAATGTTTCACAATCATCACTTTCCTCTCTCGATTCAACTGGAGATAGAGGAAAATATGAAGATGTGTAATATAACCAAATCCCAAGCATTTATAACTTAAATAATATGTAAACTAGATAGGTTAGAGTTATGACTGTACAAACTCAAATTTTGTTAGACATGTAAAAATAAAGGCTAAAAATCCGGAATTTGTTAAATAATCTGTTGGAAGACTGACAGTTATAAGCATGATGCTCAGCAACATGCTCAATATATACTATAATTTACGAAAAAGTTAGAGACACCGCAATGGTAATTAATACAATTTATTTAAGCCTGTATTTAAGAATATAAGCACAAACGACACAAATTATCAGTACTTCTCAGACATTCAAAAATGTATTTGACAATTATCCCAGACAAAAAAGTTACCTGAGGACTTTCTTCTTCTCCTCTTCCCAAGGCACTACAATCAGCAAAATCAACTTAAGAACAGAAAAAAGAATGAAGATGAAAAAATTTAACCACTGAATCGTATCATGGTTGTATAATTGTGTTAAGTTTTACCATTAGACTAGGTAGAAGAAACAATTTGACAAGATCCTCTGGTTGATAATGACAGTCTTCAGGCAGCATTGTATTACAATGTGCTCTACTTGCAGGCATCAATAGCGACTTTGGATTTTTTGGAGGTGCAAATATATCTGGTAATTCTTCATCTAAGGCCTTTGTGAAATCTATATCAGGTTCTGCTTGTTTCTTACTCCTTGTTTTCTTATTTGTTACTGGTGATGCATTTTCTGAAGCAGGATCATCTTCTGAACCAGCAAAAAGAGTTCATTTTATGTTCCAATGTCAATGAACCACAGAAACCCAAAAAAAAAAAAAGGCAATTAATATTATCACCTGCTACAGGACCTTTAACTTTTCGATACTTCCAGTGATCAGGACCTGCCCAAGCATTTTGTTTTGAAGAAATTCCCAAACTTAAAAATAAATGTTCATCAACTTTCTCAAATCTGTCCATATCAGGGTTGTGAGAAGAAAATGGTTCAGTTTCCTGCAAAAAGTAATTCCAAACTATTGGGCATGAAACTTCATTCTTGAAATCTTCAAATGATAATGGGAAAAGTAATAGAACATATTACAGCCAAAACTCAATGAACAGGAGGTATATGAAAAAACCTCATCATAACTTGGAAAAGTCGGATCTACACCACTGATGTTCTCATCAACAATGCTTGATCGGTCATCATGAACAAAAGCAGAGGTCTGGCCATCATGATCAAAAGCAGAGGTCCCATAATCCTCACATGCACCACCATCGAACTCAACTTCATTATTATTCAAAGCTTCAACTTCATCAATCACTTTCTGGCTAGAACCAAAAGTATCTAATGGCCTTCTATTATCTTCATCAAACTCATTGATGATAATCTTAAGGGTTGGTGAGATTTCATTCTTCACTTGCATGTTCAGTACCATCTGTTCAACATAGTCTATAAAAAACAACAAAAATTGACCGCCATTAGAACCACAAATTCCTAACACAAAACTACAAAACAGAGAAAATATTATAGTAGAAGCAACAAACCTCTGATAAAAGAAAGGTCAATTGTATCTGACTCATAATGTTGGTTTGCACATGATGTGCCCTTCCCTGGTACTTCTTGTGAATCAAAGAGAACCCGGCATCCAGCATATACTCCAAGATTATTCAGCAAGAGACCCTTAGCTCCACCTTCATCAAATTGTGCAGATGTCTGATGATAGAGTGGATCGACGGCAAATGCAACTGACGAAAGAAAAGAGAAAGGAAATGCCATCATATTTCTAAATGTAAATCTCAAACCAGTGATGGACATGGCTAGAATGTGTGACCAACCATCGAATTTCTTCAAATTAAGTGCCTCAAAAGAGGATTCCAGTGTTGACAAAGGTGACAGCTGCATGTATTGAAATTTATGAGTTTATAGATATAATATTAGCCAACTCATTAAGTAAACAAAGGTATCACCTTTTTCTCCACATCTTTCTTTGAGTGCCCTTCCTTATGTCCAGTTTGAACGCTGGCATCCTCCACCATGGTATCTGACATCGTAATACAACATTAGGAGATTAACAACCCTAAGAAAAAGGGGGATGCAGGGTAGCTGCAAATTGAAATCTTAAAAGCAAGCTTAATGACATGAATCTTTATAAGCAATTACATTAGTACATGAGGTAGCTCAGACTAGAGAAAATCAAGTAGGAAGGAAGGAGGACAAATAAATATGCATGCTTAAAAACTTACCTTGTCGATAAAAAATAAACCGATCTTGGAGGAAAAAATGAAAGTTACAATCCATGGAAGCTAAAAATTATGCATATACGCAACAAAATATTATATTAAAGTTTTGTTAGAAATGAAAAACTTCTTGTAAATCATTCTTATTGATAGTATTTTACCCTAAACTTGCCTCTCTGAGAAAAAGGATGAGCCAACTTATCTAACAAAGGAAACAGGTTAACAGTAGGGGGAAATCTTATTGACGATTCTCAGTTTTCAGTACACTAGTCTTACTAATGAGAGTTCATATGGATGAGGTGTAAAGTTTCTGGCAAGTTCAATTGTATATAATGCTGAAACTATCAAGACCATAAGACAATTTTATACGTGTAAAAAAAAAATAATAAAGTTTTATATGTCGTTTTCTAATGAAAAATTACTAATCTCTCTTCACAAGCACTATTTAGACTATTAAACTGTCTTTCCATGAGTTGAGACTTGAGAGTACGGCAGTTCTTAACAGAAAATAAAAGGTTGCAAGGACGATCATTAGATCGAGTCACATGTATTTTCTATGACAAGGAGATTTGAGATGGAGCTCTAGGAGACTTGGACAAGCAAATTTTTGTGCACCATGCATGAGTTCGTTGAGGGACCTTCTCAAACAAAAATCTTCAAAGACGCCACTATTATTATTTTGTGTAACACGTTGCTATTGTGTGTTTCACGTGGAGAACCAAAGAGTTGTCTCAACTCTCAAGCACAGGATAGAAGGATGTGATGGACATATATCAAATTAGTTATCTGCCAATCAGCATGCAGATAGACAGACAGATCAAGACAAATTCACAAAAAAAGTTACAACTTTGTGGTACCCCAATTGAGTGTGTGAACGAGAGGCACAACAAGCTTAGGACATGCAGTTATCACTTCCACTAATTACACAAATACCATACACAAGCATCACAGATATTATGATTGCTTTATACTTCAGTAATTACTTGAATGCATACCATTTGAAGGAAGCTGTATACTAAGATCGTCCAAGCTGGTGCAGCCGTGGATGCTCAAACCATGCTCATTAGCTAAATGTAATAGGCATATAAAACACAGATGAGGTGAGATATCCTTGACAGTTGCAGCAGCTCGGCAGTCGGTAGGAAATTTCGCCAAGAGGTGCCTGAATGATTGTGTCTCTTCTTGACCCTTTTCAAGAAACAAAATATCTAAATTAGAGATCACCATTATCCCAACTTTAATTCACTTAAGACGGTGTGGGTGCAAGAAGTCTTTGTACACCCATTCATAAGGTCAGTTACAACTAACATTCTATTATCACCACATGACGTTTGCCAAGAGCAAATCCTATTAGCATACCTCAACACCCATTTGAGCAGATTCCTGTATCTGATCCCATATAGTTTGTTTCAAAGTCTGAACATCAACTTGTTTAGAAGTTCTGTCATACTCAACTTCAATTTTTTGTATCTGAATGGTTAAGATAAGAAGCAAAACGTAAGCACCAACTACAAAAAGTTTTCACCACATAGTGAATGTTTGAAATAACATTTTAAATCTGCGTTCTTAAAAAACGTAGAGAATCAAAGGTCTTTGCGTCGTCTTGATACATAATATTACTAAACATAATGCCATGGGTATATATGGTAAGAAGTCACATCATTTCAAAGGGCATAGAATGCCTACATTCACAGTAATTGGAAAAGGAAGGGCTAAATAATAGACAAACCAACCAACCTGGCGAGGCTGAGAGACAAGTGTGCCGTCCTCCACATCACTTTGATCATTTCCGTCATCAAATTGGCAACCAAATGTTTCGTCGCCCCAGGATGGTAATGGTTCACAATCATCACTTTCCTCTCTCGATTCAACTGGAGATAGAGGAAAATATGAAGATGTGTAATATAACCAAATCCCAAGCATTTATAACTTAAATAATATGTAAACTAGATAGGTTAGAGTTATGACTGTACAAACTCAAATTTTGTTAGACATGTAAAAATAAAGGCTAAAAATCCGGAATTTGTTAAATAATCTGTTGGAAGACTGACAGTTATAAGCATGATGCTCAGCAACATGCTCAATATATACTATAATTTACGAAAAAGTTAGAGACACCGCAATGGTAATTAATACAATTTATTTAAGCCTGTATTTAAGAATACAAGCACTAACGACACAAATTATCAGTACTTCTCAGACATTCAAAAATGTATTTGACAATTATCCCAGACAAAAAAGTACCTGAGGACTTTCTTCTTCTCCTCTTCCCAAGGCACTACAATCAGCAGAATCAACTTAAGAACAGAAAAAAGAATGAAGATGAAAAAATTTAACCACTGAATCGTATCATGGTTGTATAATTGTGTTAAGTTTTACCATTAGACTAGGTAGAAGAAACAATTTGACAAGATCCTCTGGTTGATAATGACAGTCTTCAGGCAGCATTGTATTACAATGTGCTCTACTTGCAGGCATCAATAGCGACTTTGGATTTTTTGGAGGTGCAAATATATCTGGTAATTCTTCATCTAAGGCCTTTGTGAAATCTATATCAGGTTCTGCTTGTTTCTTACTCCTTGTTTTCTTATTTGTTACTGGTGATGCATTTTCTGAAGCAGGATCATCTTCTGAACCAGCAAAAAGAGTTCATTTTATGTTCCAATGTCAATGAACCACAGAAACCCAAAAAAAAAAAAAGGCAATTAATATTATCACCTGCTACAGGACCTTTAACTTTTCGATACTTCCAGTGATCAGGACCTGCCCAAGCATTTTGTTTTGAAGAAATTCCCAAACTTAAAAATAAATGTTCATCAACTTTCTCAAATCTGTCCATATCAGGGTTGTGAGAAGAAAATGGTTCAGTTTCCTGCAAAAAGTAATTCCAAACTATTGGGCATGAAACTTCATTCTTGAAATCTTCAAATGATAATGGGAAAAGTAATAGAACATATTACAGCCAAAACTCAATGAACAGGAGGTATATGAAAAAACCTCATCATAACTTGGAAAAGTCGGATCTACACCACTGATGTTCTCATCAACAATGCTTGATCGGTCATCATGAACAAAAGCAGAGGTCTGGTCATCATGATCAAAAGCAGAGGTCCCATAATCCTCACATGCACTACCATCGAACTCAACTTCACTATTATTCAAAGCTTCAACTTCATCAATCACTTTCTGGCTAGAACCAAGAGTATCTAATGGCCTTCTATTATCTTCATCAAACTCATTGATGATAATCTTAAGGGTTGGTGAGATTTCATTCTTCACTTGCATGTTCAGTACCATCTGTTCAACATAGTCTATAAAAAACAACAAAAATTGACCGCCATTAGAACCACAAATTCCTAACACAAAACTACAAAACAGAGAAAATATTATAGTAGAAGCAACAAACCTCTGATAAAAGAAAGGTCAATTGTATCTGACTCATAATGTTGGTTTGCACATGATGTGCCCTTCCCTGGTACTTCTTGTGAATCAAAGAGAACCCGGCATCCAGCATATACTCCAAGATTATTCAGCAAGAGACCCTTAGCTCCACCTTCATCAAATTGTGCAGATGTCTGATGATAGAGTGGATCGACGGCAAATGCAACTGACGAAAGAAAAGAGAAAGGAAATGCCATCATATTTCTAAATGTAAATCTCAAACCAGTGATGGACATGGCTAGAATGTGTGACCAACCATCGAATTTCTTCAAATTAAGTGCCTCAAAAGAGGATTCCAGTGTTGACAAAGGTGACAGCTGCATGTATTGAAATTTATGAGTTTATAGATATAATATTAGCCAACTCATTAAGTAAACAAAGGTATCACCTTTTTCTCCACATCTTTCTTTGAGTGCCCTTCCTTATGTCCAGTTTGAACGCTGGCATCCTCCACCATGGTATCTGACATCGTAATACAACATTAGGAGATTAACAACCCTAAGAAAAAGGGGGATGCAGGGTAGCTGCAAATTGAAATCTTAAAAGCAAGCTTAATGACATGAATCTTTATAATCAATTACATTAGTACATGAGGTAGCTCAGACTAGAGAAAATCAAGTAGGAAGGAAGGAGGACAAATAAATATGCATGCTTAAAAACTTACCTTGTCGATAAAAAATAAACCGATCTTGGAGGAAAAAATGAAAGTTACAATCCATGGAAGCTAAAAATTATGCATATACGCAAAAAAATATTATATTAAAGTTTTGTCAGAAATGAAAAACTTCTTGTAAATCATTCTTATTGATAGTATTTTACCCTAAACTTGCCTCTCTGAGAAAAAGGATGAGCCAACTTATCTAACAAAGGAAACAGGTTGACAGTAGGGGGAAATCTTATTGACTATTCTCAGTTTTCATTACACTAGTCTTACTAATGAGAGTTCATATGGATGAGGTGTAAAGTTTCTGGCAAGTTCAATTGTATATAATGCTGAAACTATCAAGACCATAAGACAATTTTATACGTGTACTATCCACGAAATGATGTATACTGGCCCTTGAATAACTTCTAACTTTCCTGCAATTGAACAATGATCAATTGACATAATACTTGAGACAATACTTTCCTAATTATAGTCGTACAAAACCAAGACTAGAATCAAAGCACATTGCATGCAATCCTTGCACTAATATAACTTCAGTCTTCAGCATAAGAAACCTAACCTTCATCTTCTTGTCCAGCTCTATTAATTCCACCAAGAACCTTGTATGCTTCTGAATGCAGTGAGTCCACCCTCGCTGAGTATATCTTAACTCCAGCTTCGAGAGTGCAACTTGCCTGTGGAGATAGTCATTTATACATGTTTTCCTAAGTATGAAAAATGCAAAAGGGTGTTATAATTGTCAAATTCAAGATAGAATAACACACCTTTTGAAAATTAGTCTCCACATTATTTTCTTCTTCCACCTTAATAATCTCACCTAGATGGTCAATCAAGCTCAGTTCCCAGGTATTCTTTTGATTAATTTTCTGCATGCCCATCAAACAAAACCAACAAAAATAAATATATAAATACAACTAATACTCCAAAACGACCATTCATCCACCATCGACATTATAGTACACTAATAAATTCTCCATTTCTAGTAATATAAATTCAAATTTCAAAATAAAAAGATCGCAGAAATATTGACAGTTAAAGGGATTGTACGGACATTTTCGCTGGCGAGTTTGATGCAATTATCTAACAACTCAAGAATCTGGTCCTTGCACAGACAGGGAGAGTCAGCCTGGTTTGGAGGCGGAGCATGGACTACCTTCCGGCGGATAGCGGCGGCTCGAGCCTCTCGGGCCTGGGCCCGCTCTCGTCTGTCGTCGTTGGAGCCCAAGAAGAAGGGGCTGGTCGGAGATGCCACCGGAATTCTTTGCCTCCTACTAGGGCTTAGGATTTCAGCCATTTGTGCCAATTCAAACACGAATCGAGAATCGCATAATAGGGTTGGGAGTTTTAAGATGTAGTTGCATAAGTGAATTAATGGATTTTCCCTCCAGTTTATGTTTTGAAATTTGGGTTTGGAGAGAGATGACACGCTGCGTGTGATGTATGGAGTTGTTATGAGGTCTAATATCATTTCGCCGTTTAAATTTTTGATCTTATTTAGACGGTGGAAAAGCCCCCGATAATGCATATTACAAATTTACAATGATGTAAATTCAACTTTAAATTTTCAATGCAAATTTAATAATTAACATTATATTTAAAAATTCAACTTTAAATTGATTAACTGAATATCAGGATCATCAATTAGCATCAATATACCATCATTCAAATATTTTCTCGCTATTTATGGTGGGCATTAGCATACCCATTTTTAGAGCATCTCTAATGCTGCTCTTTATTTTGAAGAGCATCTTTCATATAAATAAAGAGTATCTTCATTAATTTTTAAATATGAAAAACACAATTTTTATTCAAATTCAATAGACTCTTAAAATTTTGCAAAGATGCTCTTTATTTCTAAGAAAGAGACTTAATAGGGGAGAGAATTAATAAATAAAATGTATAGAAACTTGTAATTTATTAATTAAAATTAGGACAGAGAGTCAAATTTGACTCTCTAAATGTGGAGAGCCAAACTCACTCTAATTTATATTTTAAAGATAAAAAATATATTAGACTCTTGTTTTTATAGATAAACTCTTTATAATAAATAGTTTGGGTTATATAAAGAGTCCGAGCATCTCCAAATTACTCTTTATATAATCCAAACTCTTTATTATAAAGAGTTTATCTATAAAAACAAGAGTATAACATACTCTTTATCTTTATAATATAAATTAGAATGAATCTGACTCTCCACATATAGAGAGTCAAATATGACTCTTAATCCTAATTTTAATTAATAAACTAGAAGTTCCTATACATTTTATTTATTAATTCTTTCTTCCATTAAGTCTCTTTCTTAAAAATAAAGAACATCTTCATTAAATTTAAAGAGTTTATTGGATTTAAATAAAAATTTTGTTTTTTATATTTTAAAATTAATAAAAATGCTCTTTATTTATATGAAATATATCCTTCAAAATAAAGAATAATACATTGGAGATGCTTTTAAGCCTCCAAATTATACAAAATATCGAAACCATTAAATTAAAACTTTAATTTTCAATTATTTTCCCTCCAAATTCTTTCACTACGATTACATGTTCCCGAGTACAACACAGAATGAACGTTTATCCAGTAAATAAAAATTTTCAGGTATACATATTGAAGTTCCAAGCCAAGAAGTAACATAATCTTCAACCCCAACTCTCAAAAGAAATCCACAGATCGCTCTACAGGTTATCAATTCCAGGAACTCGTTTTACAACATCTGGCTTTGATGAAACGATCTTGTTGCCAAGCTGCAGAATATGCTACACTAACCGGCTCAACAAAAGAATTAGTATCGGTCTAGTTACAACCTAATTTGTCTTTCTCATCAGATATGCCACAATGCATCCCAAGACGGCACCAGCAACAACCTGGATCATACCGAACAAACGAACATTAATGCCTTGATCAGAATGCTTGTGAACTAGCCTTCCGCCTTGAACAAAACATAATGGTAATTCTGATAGAATAACAATTATTTTTATTCAACCCTCCAGTTAATAACTTGTACAAGTGTAACATTGCAAAATCTTATCAGGATGCTTGCAGATGAGAGTCGGCCAATATTATTTATGTCAACGTTTTTATGGTAATGGTTCCCTAGACAGCATAGAGTTCCCTCTGGGCTATAAAAGAAGAATATGAAAACACAAGCGCACACACGCATAAACGTAAATGTTAAATGCAACTCCTATGGTTTCAATAAGTGTGAAATAGAGCTTTAAAACAATGAACCCTGTAACTAACAACAAACGTATGCAATCAATTGTAACAAACACCTAAATAGAGTTAATCAACTAACAAAATAAAATGCTGAAATATAATGTTCGCAGCAGGTTTAAAGATACTTAGTCTACCCCCATCAAGCAACCTGTTATTATAAGCCTTGAAATAGGTACACAGAATATGAAACCTGGAGGCTACCCAACACAAATTTTGTTAAACCAACAAGAAGTTCAGGTGAGGTCATTGGCAGTTAAAAATATATGGTAATAACTGCGGAAACCTTAAAGTTCTAGACATTTTTCAAACAGTGAGGTAATATCTTGTTTTGTTGTGATCTCAACCATATGAAAATCAATTATTATACCTGCAAAATTAAATAACAGAATATAGCACAATTTCACAACCAACCAACCCCCTCACCCTTCATCTTCGACCTGCAAACTCAATCTTTCCTAGCTAAAATAATTAAACTATTGAGTAATATTACACCCACAACCTTTTCTCACAAACTTTCTCTCACAACCCCGACATGGTAACTTGCAATTGGTCAACTTGCAATGAGACTCACTTGATAAATTATAATTGACCAATTGTGAGCTGCCACATTAGGGTTGTGAAAGAAAGTTTGTGAGAAAAGGTTGTGCATGTAGTATTACTCTTAAACTATACCTCCAGTTTTAGCAGCCATAGTTTCACATTAAATCTCTACAACAACAAACTTTTTTCAAATTACAAATCATGAGAATGTATGTATATCTGGCTTGGTCTCAGCCTGAGAATTTCCACACAAATAAGAAAGCTTAAAACAAAAAAGCAGTATTTATTTAAATAGAACATAGGTGTAAAATACCTGTACTGGTGTATGGCCAAGTAATTCACGTAGAGGTCTAACACTAGATAATGGGTGATCCGGAGGAAACTCACATACAATTTGATTCAGCAACTGCAATAAGCATAAATAAAATACTCAGGAAAAACAACATATAGAAGAGGTGTGATCAGTTTTGTTACAAGGTAAGCAGTTTCTTTTTTCTTTATATTTATATATATAGGAAACAAAATTTTGAATTACTGTAGAAGAACAGAAACAAAAGTGGACCAAGTGAGGTAAGCAAAATACAAAGGCAACTAAAGTTTACAAAGAAAGTGAAACAGGAACTTACTTCAGCTTGCCGACCAGCATGTAATCTGACACCAGAGGCATCATACATTACCTGCAAATTTCTAAGAATTATCAACCACCCCACCTAACTTAAATAAGTATAGTGCAGTTATCACAGTGATAATCAAGATTAACAAGATTTAGCAAAAAACAGAAAAAAATAAAATAAAATAAAATAAAATCCATAACATTAAAAACAAATTATTAAAAGAAGTAGTGCTTGGATTTATCTAGATTGCTGAGCACCCTAAACGAAGGCTGGTTTGAGAAGTTAATCTATCACATACCAATTCAAGACATCACACATAAGGCTAACAAGATATAACTTCTGTGAAAGACAAACCAGTTGGTCGTAATCAAATAAGTGCATCAGTTTATGAGATATCTGCAGGGATATTTGCTCTCCAATCAGTTCAAAGTGAAGAGATAGCAATTTTAACATCAGTAGCACTTATTTGATTTTACCAACTTTCTAGCTTTTTCTTAAAATTAGATTAAAAAATATACTCATAGAAAAAGGGGGAAAATGTGCTTGAGCACTAATTTGATAATCTCATATTTAGCTCTTTGCTTTTGTTATACCGCAAAGCTCTTTCAAACGACAAGACATAATGAACTGCATCAGTTCTTCTTAACAGAACACGGGATTTCATAAAAAATCCACCAAACCTTTGAACTAAACATGAAACTCAAAGAGAAATAAGAAATCGGATGACAACAAGAAACAGAGCCACAAAGTATATAAGTTCAGTTCAGACCCTGACTTTAACTACATCCCAAAAAATCTAGAAAAAAGAAAAAAGATGAAAGGAACTAGCCTCAGCATCCCTAAAGTTGTAATTGAAACATGTAAATGTAAATTAAATAAACTTTAACAAGGGTCCATAACAATTTAGCTAGAGAAACTTCAAATTCAAATTCATAACACATTTGGAAGAAACATTCAGAAATAAATTTAAGAACACACTATGTTTGTAGCAAATTGTATTACAGTTATTGGTAACAACCAAATGATAAAAATATATAAGTATGTCAGCGAAAGAAAAACAATAAGGTGAGAGGAGCACACATACAATGCATGCCAACACCAATGCAATAGCAAAAGCTGGACCTCCTGTCCCTTCTTGTAAAGCTATTGCTACCACTAGCGCCATCACAGTTGCAGAATGTGATGATGGCATTCCACCAGAGCCTAGCATTCTTTTAGAATCCCATCTTTTCTCTTTATACCTGAGCATCTAGGAGGAACATACACAAACTGAGATATTATTTCACATTATATATCATTAGAATACATTTTAAACACATAATAATATAATTTACATTCACATGTTGTACTGCACACAAAAATCATGACATTTATTGGTTGCATGGAGTATTATATCAAAATTACATATAAGTTTCCCTTCTAAATACAAATATCAATTGTAATATCTAACTGAATTTCAATATCCTGGTACCATAACATTTCCTTCGAAATATATTACCTACTGTAATCTCTTCTTTAATTTCAATGGTATCATATCAAATTATTGCATATACAAACCTAAAGCGCAAATCAAGACATCTAAAAAATCATAGTTCACAAATATTACAATAAACAAATGAAAAGATTTCATAATCAGTTGAGATATTTACAAGAAATGGAGAAAATAGTACGGACGGACCAGGTGGTGAAGATCTTGAGGAATTGAGCAAGAGCGAAGGCGAGAAAGGCGGAGATCAGAGGGAGGTTGTTAGGGAGCAACAGCGACGACGACGACGGCGTTGTTTGACCGGTCCTCAACGACGCCGCATCCGTCACAGTGATCACCTCGTCCATTTTCTATAATTCCAATGAATTTAAATAATTATAATATTCGGATGAGATTATCTCTGCGATTCGCGATTTTCGATTCCCACGACCTCACCGTCTCTCAAAGTCAAAGCGATGTATGTAAATTGTAATGTAACTAACACTTTTTGTGAGGAAGGAGAGGATTGGAAGAAGGTGGGGAAGTGGAAATGGGCCCCCCGTAGAGAATATTGGCCCACCAATTGGCCACCGCCTCTATGGGCCCACGGCTGCGTCGGAACGCGATCATAATTTTGGCTCTTCCTGTTTCAGTATGTTTATGAACATTTCAATACCATTACGCCTAGTTAGCAATTTCGCATTATTCTCGAATTATATGCCCAATCATATAATTTATGTATCATTCGTAAACTGTCATATTTTATCAGTCTAGTTATATTATTTGTGAATTATATGCTTCAGTCATATTATTTGTGAATTATTTTCATATTCGAATTTTTGTTGAATTTTTACAAACAATTTTTTCACTATTTACCGTATCATACTCGTAAAATTCTCGTACCTTTTTTTTGATATACCTGTATATTTGAAATGCTATATAGATTTTAACCAAATGGCCCATGAAAAGTGCTAAAACTAAGATTAATATTATCGTATTTTTTAAAACGTATTATTGACAATGTATCGTATTAAACTCGTATATACCCATACCGTATTTTTTTCATATCTAAATTTTATGACTAAATTTTTACAAACGTATTTTTTACCATTTATCATATCATATCCGTAAAATTTCCGTACCTTTTTTTGCCGTAACCGTATTTACTAACTAGGCCATTAAGACAATAAATTTTTTTAAAAAAAAAAAAAATTTAGTGTCAACATATAATTAAAACTTGACTCTATTCAATCGCTTGTTTAAAATGAGCACTGTTTATTTCATTATAGAAGACAATAATAATACACCATTGACTACTGTTTATATAACATTTAAGCTGTGTTTGGTTCGGGGAATATTTTATGGCTAAAAAGGTAGGATTACCATTAAGATATATTATCTTGAAGATTACGGGAGAATGTTATATCAATATGTTTGGTTAGATTAGTAGGTATAAATAATTAAGATATTTGGTTGGGAAAAATAAAATATTATCGATTGAGACTTTTATTGAATTGCTCTTCCTTTTTAATATAATAATAATAATAATAATAATAATGTAATAATAATAATAATAATATTATTATTATAAATTCTTTTAACCTCCTATATTTAAGAATTTAGCTAAAACACTCCCAAAAACAAAGTTTAAATTTTAACAAAATACCCCCAATCACTCAAGACCATCGTCAATCGCCAGCCACCAACGTCAGTCACCAAAACAGCGCACGACCAACGAGTTCAGGCTGGTCGTGCGTCGTTTTGGCTGTTTTCGACCATATTGAAGGCTGAAAACAACCAGATCACTGTGGAATGTGGATCTAGTTGAAAACGACCAAATCCACGCTGATCTGGCTGTTTCTGGCCAGATCGAAGGCCGAAAATAGCCAGATCGTCATGGATCTAGTTGAAAATGGTCACAAATGGCTGATTTATTCTGGTCGTTTCCAGCCAGATCCACGGTGATTTGGCCATTTTCAGCCTTCAATCTGGCCAGAAACACCAGATCAGTGCATGACCAGCCAGATACCGCTGGTCGTGTGTCAATCTGGCAACTATTGCCGGTGGTCTTTGGTGTCTAGGGGTATTTTGTTAATTTTTAAACTTTTTGTGGCTGAGGTGTTTTAGCTAAATTCTAAAATATAGAGGGTCTGGATAATTGTTATTTGGTAGACATTTGAGAGCAATTGTGTCTGGAATGGTATTTAATTAAAGGCAAAATGGGTATAAAATTAAGATTACCTTGGTAATATTTAAATACCACCCATTGAGAAGATAATCTGATTACCCCATATTGAACCCATAATAATTACTGTTGGTATTAAAAGATTATCGAAATCTTTTATTACTTGACAATCAAACAAAGAAATGTTCGAAATTAAAGATAGATTATCGGTGTTATCTTTCCAGAACCCTAACCAAAAGAGAATGGAAAAAAGAAAAATCCTTCTTCATAACTATATAGTATAAGCATCAAACTATTATAACATCAAATTATATACTCTTGATTTAACTCAATCTAATAATTAAACATTTAAAATACATAATTTACTCTTCAGACAACGCAATCTAATAATTAAAAAGTTGTGAGTTAACATTAAAAATAACTATTTCAAACTTCTCTTGTTGGATTACATCGAGTCAAAGGTAAAAAATTTATGTTAAAATTAACATGAGAATCGTACAATTTTAGTATTATCTAATATCCATTTTCATTTACTTGTTGCTGCACATTGTAATATTTCTCAGCTTTGATCTATCTCATTTACAGTGTATCCGAAGTCCAAGCATCACCCGTCTTAAGTTTGTTCTAGCCTCAGGTTTACTTAAAAAAACTTTCTAAGGTTGAGAATGNTTAAAAAAAAAAAATTTAGTGTCAACATATAATTAAAACTTGACTCTATTCAATGGCTTGTTTAAAATGAGCACTGTTTATTTCAATATAGAAGACAATAATAATACACCATTGACTACTGTTTATATAACATTTAAGCTATGTTTGGTTAGGAGAATATTTTATGGCTAAAAAGGTATGATTACCACCAAGATATATTATCTTGAAGATGACGGGAGAATGTTATATCAATATGTTTGGTTAGATTAATGGGTATAAATAATTAAGATGTTTGGTTGGAAAAAATAAAATATTATCGATAGAGACTTTTACTGAGTTGCACTTCCTTTTTAATATGATAATAATAAAAAAAAAATTTAGCTAAAACTCCCTCAACAACAAAGTTTAAATTTTAACAAAATACTCCCAGCCACCCAAGACCATCGTCAACCGCCAGCCACCGACGTCAGTCACCAAAACAGCGCACGATCGATGAGATCAGGCTGGTTGTGCGCCGTTTTGGCTGTTTTCGACCACATTGAAGGCTAAAAACAGCTAGATCACTGTAGAATGTGGATCTAGTTGAAAACGACCAAATCCACGTTGATCTGGCTGTTTCTGGCCAGATCGAAGGCTGAAAATAGCTAGATCGTCATGGATCTGGTTGAAAATGGTCACAAATGGCTAATTTATTCTGCCGTTTCCAGCCAGATCATTTGGCCGTCTTCAGCCTTCAATCTGGCCAGAAACACCAGATCAGTGCACGGCCAGCCAGATCCTGCCAGTCATGCATCAATCTGACAACTATTGCCGGTGGTCTTTGGTGGCTGGAGGTATTTTGTTAATTTTTAAACTTTTTGTGGATGGGGTGTTTTAACTAAATTCTAAAATATAGAGGGTCTGGATAATTGTTATTTGGTAGACATTTGAGGGCAATTGTGTCCGGAATGGTATTTAATTAAGGGCAAAATGGGTATAAAATTAAGATTACCTCGGTAATATTTAAATACCACCCATTGAGAAGATAATCTGATTACCTCATATTTAACCCACAATAATTACTATTGATATTAAAAGATTACCGAAATCTTTTATTATTTGACAATCAAACAAAGAAATGTTCGAAATTAAAGATAGATTATCGGAGTTATCTTTCCCCTAACCAAAAGAGAATGGAAAAAAGAAAAATCCATCTTCATAACTATATAGTATAAGCATCAAACTATTATAACATCAAATTATATACTCTTGATTTAACTCAATCTAATAATTAAACATTTAAAATACATAATTTACTCTTCAGACAACGCAATCTAATAATTAAAAAGTTGTGAGTTAACATTAAAAATAACTATTTCAAACTTCTCTTGTTGGATTACATCGAGTCAAAGGTAAAAAATTTATGTTAAAATTAACATGAGAATCGTACAATTTTAGTATTATCTAATATCCATTTTCATTTACTTGTTGCTGCACATTGTAATATTTCTCAGCTTTGATCTATCTCATTTATAGTGTATCCGAAGTCCAAGCATCACCCGTCTTAAGTTTGTTCTAGCCTCAGGTTTACTTAAAAAAACTTTCTAAGGTTGAGAATGTCAGTGAAAATTAACTTAGGGTGATGAAGAACCGCTATATTTGCTAGGCAATGGAGTATTTGTTCGCGATTTTCGCTTGGTTGGGATGAGCACAGGTTCCTCCTCAAACTCCTCAACAGCTGGATCACTTTCATCATCTTCTACCCCTTTGAAAACTGGATGGATATAAGCATTTTGCAGGAAGCTTTTCAAGTTGAAATTCGGCTCCCTTGCACGTTCCAATGTATCTTTCATCATTGCTTCCTGAAAAAACAACCAGAAGAATTTCATCATGTGGTCATCGGTTGTTAATGTCAATGCAGTTATGCAACATTGAACCAACCTGTAAAGGATTTCTAACGAAAGCAGGTTCATAACACCCTTTGCAGAACCTATGGAACCATATGGTTAGTATTGGAAGTGTGATGAGCAGAGGTGTTGATTGAGCAGCTTCTTTTGTGCTTAACAATCCCATTAGTAGTAACTGTGAGACAATCAGGGCAGTTATGATGCGTCCATGGACATCAGGCCAGAATGCTGCAGCGCTCTCGTACTCTTGATTGTAGACATTTATAATCTACAAGTTTTTAAAAGTACTCGTTAGATCAATCAATGGGCAAGAATATTGAACAAACTGTTTCTAACAGACCACAATGCTTCCAACGTAGGAAAAACACTACTAAAGTATTACCTGATGACGATATACAACGAATGCCAGCACAAAGAAAATTATTATGAATGGAAGAAGGAAGGGGGTCACCACAGCATAAACAAGACCAAGTAAGAAATAAAGTTGTATTTGAGGTTCTCCAGTATTAAAACCAAGGGTTCCAGGATCCATTGCCTCCTCCCTATCCTTTTCAGTTTTCACCAAGAAGAAATTTTTTAAGTGATAGATTATCAAGGGTTTCAACCTCAGAATCTCCCCAGCGACTCCGGCCCACCCATCAACCATTATATAAGTTATGAAAAATGTTGCCTTCATTGGAATTGAGACCCCGATTGTCTTTGGGATACTGCACAAGTAAACAATTAAAGTCATCAGCAAAGGAAATCAAATGAATAATCACCACCATGAAGTAGGTATCACATGCAACAACACAGACAAAACATTGGGCTAAAAATTATGCTAGTCACATAAAAGAGAGTTTTGGACGCTTCAGTTTAACAGATGAACTCAATTCAAGTGATAAGAATAAAAAGGTAAAACAGTAAACAGAAAATTATGTAGGTAGAAATTTGGAAAAGGCCATATGTTTAGGACTGAGGTTTAAATAAGTTGAGTTTCGTTTCTATATTACACATTCAAACACACAAATCTCAACTTAATGTCCAGTATTTCATGCATCATTTCAAAACGTTTGCAGAAAGTTGCACACTACTAGATCAACATAAATAACAACAGTTCATGAAAGTAATTCAGGTTGATACAATCCACAGTTTAAGATGATTAGTGATTATTATCAGAATTAAAACAAGATTTCTGAGTCTTGACGCTAATTTAAAAAAGCATACACATAAGTACGATTACATGATATTATTATTAAAGGAATCAATCAACCAATAATTCTTAATCATCATGTATAAAACATAGCCCATGTGTGAGAAGACTTACTCATTTGCTGACTGGTGCATGAAATTGTCTAGCTGTTGAAATGCAGTTCCGGTGATTATGCTCCCAAGAAATACATTAATAAATTGAAAAATATAGTATCTAGTAGCAGATCTCCTCTCCAGGGATGATCGACTAACAAACCCTTCAAATTTGGACATTAGCATCAATATATCGGGTAGAAAAATAAGAAAAATCTTCAAAGCAATTCCTGGAAGGAAACCTTGAATGAATGACTTAATGACCTTCCTGCATGACATGCATGACAATCTTAGGATGTACAAGGAGTAGAAGGCAATTAAAGTATTTACAATAATAATTGTACAAGAAGTATAAGGCATAAAAAAATTCTTGCTCATAATAATGTCCTCCATCTACAATTGAAAAAAAAAAAATTAGCAAATCAGATGATAAATTTTGGCGAACAGAGTTAAAAGTATATGTTTTCTTAGCTACAATTATTCTTTTCACCCAGTAATTATGTGGCTGTCTACTATGAACATTATTCAAACCATATTCATGCTATAACAGTTAGAAAAACTTAGATGGCACAAAATAGTGAGGAAGCAAAGTTCTTTTTCCAATAGAGATATATATTGTACTATTACAAAGCAAAAAATAGTCTTAACTGCCAACAGTTGTAGCATACAGAATACGGAAATGATAAATAGTGAAATACCATAGGAAAGAAGAGGAAGAGCGACTTACACTTCAATTATGGGCTTTAGGAAAGGCACAGCTTTCTCAATGCCCTCTATATTTGCAAGGGATTGTACAAATGCAATGGGAATCATGAAAAAGAAAGTCAGGAAGAAATATGCGACAGCGATGATAAGTCTTCTAATTGCAAGTGAAACATATGGAATAGCAAGATTATCCCAATAAACATCACGAGGCTCTGGTGCCCACTCAGTCAACCATAGAGTTGGATTTCTGGTTTGTTGAGTTTGTGCACAAACTGCGGCTGCCCATCGAGTTTTGAAGGAAACAAATGCTGCTGGCATGACAGATTTACTGTTGCTCAAAATCTTATCTCTCTCCAAGTTTATCTGACAGTTATTCATTTAAGAACGTATAATTTAACATATGCTTTCGTGTTAATGAAAAATTCAATCATATTTGATGCTAACCAGTGCAAAATCATATTTTAAACAGAAAATGTGTACATAAAAGTTTTGATGCATTTAAATCAAATTAAAAAAGCAAAATTGACTACTAGTTTTTTTATGAATTTTAAGGGGATTGAAGTAAAGTATAAAATCAGGTATCATTGTATGCTATTAATCACTAAATGTGGGGCATAAGGAAAATATGTGTCTGATGGACACATGGATTGAATTGCTTCAGTTTCAAATGGAGATCTTCTGACAAATAATAGAAGAAGAATTATCAATATGATGAGATTACAAACACTTGTGACTCCAAAGTCAGTTAAACAAGCTGAGGACTGTCTTATAGGTTCACTTTAAATAAAATAGTCGTGGACAACCATGCACTAAGGTTAGATTAGTATGTGCCCTAATGCCTTTAGAAACAGGGGAAGAAGGATCCTTAGAAACATTGAACTAAATCAACAGGTAAAAGAAGATTAAACATTGACACTTACTTCTTTAGTCAGTCTATCAATCTTGGATATATAAAAATCAATCGCATCCACTCTATTCCCCCAGAGGCCAAGAAAACCAGTCTGCTTAACAAAAAAGAAACCATCAGAAGACTTTAATGTTGTTATTTTCCATTTTGGTTAAGCACCCAAAATACTAGTTTTGAATGGCCTCATAACCAAAAGAAAATTAGACATCATGTAAATATTTGTATTGCCATGTTGTACCTTCAACGAGGGCTTTCTAGATGGATGTCTTGAATATTTAAGTTCATAGAAATCAAGCCAATTCTGCAGTTTTTTCTTCTTATTGACCAATTCAGAGAGTTTGTTGGCATTATAAACAACCTGCACACATATTTGAGCATGAAAAAAATAATAAAGAAGAAGTATCAACTTCTATCATGTAAGTTCAATACAAGGATGAATATAAATAAGCTTATGTAGTCTGCATACCACCTCAAGATCAAAAAATGGAAGGAGAACTAATGAAACAAAGTTCAAATATATTTGGCTATTATAAATGGCTTCATGGTACAGTCATAAGGATGCAGCCTGAATACAAATTGGCTGAAAATGAATGGCCGGTATTGTTTAGGAACAGTAAGCTTTTACAGTTAAATAAGACATCGTCAATCTACTGTTTTTGAGAGAATTGTGAACTTATATCACAGAAATATCTACATTAGCTATCAAAACCATAGACTCTACCACCACTCATGATGTACTTCTAACATCTCAGGGATTAGCTGTTAAATCCATGGAAACCAGTAAACTTATTTCATTTCAGAATTAAAATAAATTATATAAACAGTCGAGTACCCCTCTCTCTCTCACTCTATACTCTCTCATTTCTTTTATGCGTGTTTGGAGCAAGAACATTTATTGACAAAATATATGTCATTTTTGTAGGAAAGAATATATGCAAATGAAAATGTAATATCATCAAACCTGATGTGTGAGATAGTGTTCTGGATGGTTGACAAGAAAAAAATGTTCCACAAGTTCACTAACTGATTCGTCAGGATCTGGAGGCACATTTCTAACCAATACCTACAACAAAATATGAAATTCCACAAATCATGAATAAAGAGAAAAACATTTCCTGTCATTAAATGAATTTTGTAATGGATTCTAACATGCATAAACATTGCAGTATGCTTCAAACATATAAGAGTCATTTGACCAAATCTGTTAGGACGCATTTGCCCATATACGTTTCTTATACGAACTAAAAAATTTAAAGCCAAAACATGTTAGCAAGATCAAATCTCGTCAATGCACTAAGTCTGGCCAAATCATTTTAGCTTAAAGATACATATTGATCTTACGGTGAATTGATCTGGCCGCCGTTGTTCTGATGCAAGAAAATGCAACCTCATTGCTGCCACAATCTCATACTCCCTTTTCAATACGTAGCATGTCCAGAAGGTGAAAGCATAAGCCATTACTAAATGGGTCCAGAATCTGCAACACCAAAAATATATAGAGTAAAATTTACTCTGCCAACGAAAATATTGCTGAAGCAAACAAGAAATTGTGCTACAGAATCGTTATTCAAGAAAAAGAAGCTATAAAACGTAAGTCATTGCCACACCTAATAGCAAAGTAGTGGAAACCAATAAAACCAACAAAGATGTTCAACCAATGTTGTGAAATAAAAGGTAAGAGATGACAATACGACTGAGCTTAAGATCAGATACTTTACTTACCTACGTGATCCAGTAGGAATATTTGATATAGAGAGCATATCTATGTTGCTGTATATTAAATTGGAACGCTTTAAGGTCGTATTGGTCCAATTAACTGGTACCATGACTGCAAATGCAAGGGAGGCAATTGGAACAAAAATTTTAAGCCTGCAGTTAAACAGGAAAAAAAGAAAAGGCAGAGTGAATCCAAGAGTACAGTAAATCAATGTCAAGCAAAGAGAAACATTCTTTCAATTATGTCTTCCCCAATTCAACATAACACCCTGGGCATAAAAGTTAATTCTTAGACAGGAAATTGATCAATGGCCATCAACATAAAATATTTGCAGTAAAGATCAGTAAACCAAATTTATCTATATGCAATTCTCCAACTTAACAGTTTCCAAACTATTTCATACATGCATTTATTAAAGCAGAAGCAAAATGTTTCAAATTGCAACATTTACTTTTATCTCTATAAAACAATTCGACTCTTATTACCTATCAGAAAAATCAAGCACCTTTAATAGCCAAGTTCACAAGCTGAAAGAATTGATTCACTAGAGCATACCCTATCAAATAAATCCTCAAGTAAACAGCAGAATCCAAGCCTGCATGATCTATTAACTCAGGCTCTGGCATCCGCAATGCTGCTGGCATCCAGCTCAGAAACCTCACATATGACCTGAAGTCCACATTGACAAACTTGCTCACAAGTGCTCCACCATGAAGTGGACTGCTCCTTAAACCCTTGAGATACCATTTCGGAAAGTAGACCCTATCATTTACAGGTTGAATCCGAAGAATAGCAAATGCCAAAAAGAAAGCAAATGCAGTGAGTATATTGATAGTTGCTGCAACTCCTATATCACCAAGTGTCGCCATATGTTTGTTCCTGTAAAACAAATAGTAAGGTATCAGCTCATAGGCATGCTAAAAGTATTTATACGCTATTTATTTGGACACATGCATAATTTAGTGAAGAAAACACACTTGCTTTCGAAAAAAATTATAAAGTTACAACAACTCTCGATTGCAGTTTGAAAAACATGATCCAAACAATAGCTACTTTTGACTTAAAAGGTCTAGTTTAAAGGCTGTCCCCAATTCCCACAAAGGGGATGTATCAGCACTAATAATATATGGGGAAATTAAAAAAAAAAAACTTCGTGATATAAAATATATCTAACAATAAAACTGGACAATGGACATCTTCTGAAAGCATTTAGTCAAGAAAAAATTCATTGCATCTCAATACCAAAAATTTTCAGAGCAGAATCTGGAGGTATAGAGTTGAAACCAAAAACATGCAACTATGCAGAGAAGTTACCACAAAACCTTATACAGAAGCATTTAATTTTTGAGATTTCCTATTTATTAGAATATCAGTTATTTTTTGAAAATATAACTCGAGTCACCTGTACCGACTATCTCAGAATATTAAACGTTAATTTAATTCAATTCACAACAACAGTTACCGAAAAATGTTCACAATTCATAGAATCTCAATTTAGTTGGTAATGAAACATCAATTCTTGAAGTCCATTTTTCAAAGATAGACTTTAATTTCAAGTCTGGTAGATAAAGAGAGAAAATAATTAATATAACGAAACAAAATTATATTCTATATTCACAGCAACCAAACAGACAACTAACCAGAAAGAAAATATCTTTATTTTTTTTTCATCAAAAGCAAAAACAATAAACTGACAAATGAGAACAACAGACGTAAGACATCGTACCGCTAACAAGCAGTTATACTTTTCTTCTGTTTTTCCTTCACTTTCCCATCAACCAAACAAACAAAAAGCAAGTTCCAGGATCGATCCTCACTCTTTAACAGGACATACTCACTCCACTTCTTGGAGAATCCCCACAAACCGCGCAGCTTTTTAACTCGATTATAAGAAGTTGAATACCGCACTGACAAAAAAGAACCTTGACAGGTGACGAAAGCAGGAGTTTCAGAACCCACTAAAAACCTGACAATGTGCGACTGGTCTAAATCAAGTGAAGTAAGATTCGTGCTATATGCTCGCATTAATTCACCTCTTGAAAAAAAAAAAGATCGTGAAAGCAAAATTGACTAGTTGTTACAAGCAAGAAAAACAAGATTTGCGTTGGTTTTGGTTTGGGTAGTACATTTGTTTATTATATTTATAAACATTTAAATATTGTAACAGAGTAATAAAGTAGTTGTTGGTCGGTTCTTTATGCATGCCAGGAGAGGAGAGATCTATAACGGCTACTGTTTTTTATATTCATCAATCAATCAAAGTTTTTTACGAGTAAAATAATTTTGGATTCAAATGACAATCATACCCAAAACCAAAAGTGTGAAGGTCAACATCATCTTTTTTTTCTTTTGCTTATTATTAGGATTTTTGAAGTGACAAGTGTCCTAGTACTTGTAAGATTGTATTTGACAGCAATACTTTTTTTATCATATTTCATGTTATAATTATAGGTTGATATCCATTAATCAATATCCATATTTATGCGTCTTGCTTGTGCTTGATACCTTAATTTTCTTTCGGATTAACATCAATAATATTTTTTGTCAAAATTCAATAGAAATCTTATTTATAAGATAAGATTTTGAGGGAGATTTTTGACAGCAATTAAAATCCACTACTGTAATTTTCATTTACACGGAGTTGTTGAAAAATAAAAACATGCTGCGACAAACCAGAAAGAGATGTGTGTTGACTGATGAGGGATGCTTCTCTTTTTGGCTAATAAGTAATAAGATAAGTGATTAGTGTAAGTATTTAGGTGTATATGGTTGTTGGGACACTGGATTGAGACCAAACACTGTAAAATCACAATCATATATCATCTTTCCACTGCAGGGTTTCCCTTTCCAAAAAGGCAGATATTGCAAGATATGTTATCATTTATGCCTTTAAACTCCCAAAATGTTCACTTGTCTTTATAGAATCTTTTTTCTATTTATCATCTTAGTAATGGAAATGGTAGGTAGCTCCTTTCCAAATATTTTATATGCTGGTGGAAACGATAACTACTTTTACCTGAATATTTGTCTGGGACCAGATCAAAGAAAAAGGTACAGCACTGGAGGGGCAGGTTGGCCACTGTTATTTTAAGTTTGAGGAATGAGGACCAATACCATGTTAATTTTATCGAAGCTCAGAAGAAACTGGGAGGCAATACAATCCATTTCTAGAGTCAACAAAGAACACCGACCAGCCGCAGCATATCTACCAGCTTATGCATACATTTAAAATTCTTGACATAAATATACAGTGCCGACAGGCCCCAAGAGTCACAATTTTGTTAGTGAAACATCACCATTGTTGAAAATTGAAGAAAATGAAGCACATTCCTAAACCAGACAGGCATGTCTTACACTTAAACCATAGCCTTGAGGAGTAAAAAAATAGCAGAATACATCAAATACAACATTATAACCCACATGATCTCATTTCTATACTGCAATTAACATGCCCAAGCGATCAATCACTCGTGATACTACAGTAATTGCCAAAATACAAGTAAATCTGGCACTGCAGTTCATATATGAATGTGTTCATAGCGACGTAATTTTTTTTCTTTGTATAAGTTGTACTACGAAGCACACATGCCAGGCACTCAAATACAACGCAACTCGGGAATTGAGTAGACAGGATTAGCTTTTTGAATGAACAGCAATCTGGTGAATGTCCATATCCTTCAACATAACAGCACGCCCACAAGAATCACATGGAGCTGTCCTCGATCCACATACGCTCTCATGCTCAGATAGTCCTCTTAGTCTGTCCCGGGCATCCATAGGCAAGTTTCCAGCTTGGACCATATCCCCACAAAACCGGCAAGTAATTAAGCGTAGAGGACAACTTGAGGCTTGGTGTTGTACCTGTGTCAACAAACAATGCAAGTGACTATAAGTTCCTAAAACAATTATTCCATTTTTTTAGGAAACTGAAGGTTAATATATTGATGAGACCCTAAAACAATAATTTAATAAAAAAAATTGCATATCAAATTTTGAGTAGTTCATTATCAGTTCCAGCAGGGCAAAATTTTCGTTGTACGAGCCTTGGGACATACATGGTGCCTCTTGAACAACTAGCCTTGGGAAGAGCTCATCATACATAAAAGTACTCTACTTAATATAAATAGAGAAGAAATTCTTTCTTAACATATGTTAGTATAAGCACAAATAACCAATATAAAGTCATTCCTAGACATACTACTAATGCCACACTGAGCCTGCCTATTTAGATTGTCATCTATGAGATACATCCAACTTATCTGAAATTTTTTAAAGTTATATTTTTTCTCTTCATACATTTGGCTATGACTGTTTCAGCTCATAACAAATTGTTGATCATTTAAACTATACTTGAAAACAGATGCATCGAAATTTGTTTAAAAATCTAGCATAGCAAATTATCCTTCAATTTATACCACAACTATTTTGTTCATTCAAATTTGCATCCAAGCTATATAGATTCTGACAACTCAAGAAATTCACCAGTACTTCAGGGGAATGTCATGCAACATAGCACGGAGCAAGAAATCTTATATAACTAGTTACCACTCTTATGCTAGAAGAACACAACTTAAATCAGCATCAAATTATATCATATAAGTATACTTTCAATGTAGATCAATGAATAAAGTAAATAGGTCAACCAGAATACCAAACTGGAGGACGAAAGGAATTGAAACAAGGAAATTTGAATAAAGACTAATCAAGAAAAGTGACAGTATATTTCTCACCATTGCAGCATTCTCAAGGACTATTCCACAGGGGCAAGTACGTGGCTCATGAAAGACTTTCATGTGCTTCTCCATTTCTCCCTGGTGAAGACCTTCCCCACATTTTTCACAATGAACATGGGTTTTGGCCTCCTCAATTCTCAGTACAACCCCACAACCAGCACGCTGACAGACCACACTATGTCTACTACAATAGGCTTCATGCAGCACAATACTCTGGCTTGGTATAAAATGGTTGCAGTTTCTACACTTCACAGTATCTATCTCCATAGATGAGGAAGACGATGTTGCTTGTTGACCCACTTTACGGCCACTATTATCATCAATTGTTACCAATACCTGGAACTTTGTTGTGTCCTTGAAGCCACACACACCAATGCTGTAGGTACCAACCCCCAAGTTCTTATCCTTAGAGCTAAGAATCAAAACTTTAGAACTCACATCATGAGAAGACCATTCATGCTGGTGACGGTTTGGGTATATGAGAGGATGCTTAGATACATAAAGATTAGTGTCTCCTCCATCTATCTCTGTGTCAATTCTTACCTCAACTCTTTTCTCTCCAGAAACTATTTTTTCCCAGGTATCATCATCAATTGAGAACTTGTAATAAACATAGTTTCCTTCATCAACCACCCCAGAATCTGACTCTCCAAATACAAGTGGTTTCAGTACATATTGATTTCCCCCATCTGATTTCACATCAGGATTTACTATATCAACCTCAATATCAGTTTCTAGAACAGATATGCTTGAAGAGGGCTTCAACTCAAGTACTTGTAACTTGTATTCCAGCACTCCATAATTGACTGTAAGGACATCACCCTGAGAAAGGGTGGCATGTTGGCGAAGGCTTGTTTCAAGGACAGCCCTTTGGTTGGGTAATTCTGAAAACCCAAGCCCATCAGGCTGAAGTTTTGCATAAGTTCCTTTTGGTAGCCGAACATAACGAACTTCAACTAATGAAGCCTTTGGAGTCGTAGTGGGGAATAAGTTGCTCCATACATGAGAAGGAAGCCCAACAAAACCTTCATCCGCAGTGAATTCCAAAACACCAGAATGGGTGCTCCTCTGACTTTTATTATCCTCCATACTTGATGGACCCTCTTGATGAACTACTGATAATATGAAATGCAGAGGACCCTTATCGAAAGCACCTTGACCAGACAATTCAGTGAAACATGAAGGTGGTAATTTGATCTTATCTCCACTACCCTGGTAAGGCACAGCTTCTAAAATACGATAAAATGCAATTCCTCCTCCGGCAAGCAAATTTTCTTGCACCTCTTGTTCGGCCTGAGAAGAATGAAAATTTCAAATTCCTAGTCAATAAATCAACTCAACACAATGCAACATTTGGAAGAAAAATAATAAAACCCAAAATCATGTGAACATTGCCAACATAACTTCTCTTTAGAATGTCAGATTCCAAGCAAACGGCTAAAACACAATTAGATTAACAAAAATTCTTGTGAGTAAAACCAACTCAGCACAATGGATTTCTTTTAAAGAAAAAAAGAATAGCAAATACAACTTTTTAATTATCCTCAAGCTAAGGTAAGCATGTCTCCAATCCATTTCGAAAACCTAAAACAAAACCAAATTGATCAACAAGAAGACCATAACACAAGTCCATTCTTCCCCCAAATTGAAGTTCATTAGACTTCCTTGACATAAAACAGCTCATTAGGAAAAAAATATAACAAAATAAAAGATTACATGTATCCCACATAAAGAAGGAATCAGCAGTCCTTTAATATAGCCATTAATACCATATATATTAATCATCATCAACATTAGAAATGAAAGCACAAATAAAATTGAGAGTAACATAAATTATGAACATTACAAAAAGTTTAAATTTAATCGATCGTATAATCTAATGAGAAATAAAGGAAAGGGTAGGTGAGACCTTGAGTTGGGCATCAATGGCATCGAGTCTTCGAGATCTCTGAGCCGCTTCAATTGCCTCACGTTGTTTCCTAGCCTCTTCTTTAGCTTTTCTTTCTCGTTCAAGTTTCAATCTGGCTTTTTCTTTCCTCTCCTTTTGTTCTTTCTCAAGCTTTTCTCTTGCTCTTCTCAGCTCAAAATCCATATTTTTCTCTATAAAATATCTGGGTATAAGTCTTTAATGAGAGGGGGTTATTGTTTGAAGTGGGATTTTAATTATATTTTAGGAGTTTTAAAGGTGATGATGAAGAGTTCAACTTCGTGTTGGCTAAGAAAGAGCGTTCTGTTCTTAACTTTGTTAGATTCTCCTTGTAAGTTGGCTGTTCTAGTTCTGGAAGGATCTGGGCCTTTCTTCCAGGAACTTGTCTAATTATGGGCATTGGTGGACTTGACTACCCAAATTTGGGCCTGGGGAATTATGTAGCCCAACAAGTGTTATTTAGTTTTTTGACAATAGCCCAATTAGATTGGATTAACCTGGGAAAATGGACTATTTATTTATGACATTGTTTAGCATTAATCTGACCCTCTCTTTATATGCCATGTGTAAAAGGATGGTTCAGTATTCACCATCTTGCGAGTTATGAGTTCTATCTTCTATGTTAATGTTACCTTCATTCTTTTCGTTATCAATATGGTATTGTAGGAACAGTTTGTGCATTATTTTGCAAAATCGTTTTTCTTTCTAAAACTTTTTTAGAATGACAAGAAAAATTCCTTTTACTTTGTTCTAATAATTTCAAAGCTAACCATTGATTGGATCATTTTATTAAAATAGTTTGTACTTCTTTTTTTTTATTATTATTATAATAGGGATAAATTTGTATGTTTATCCTGACCTTGAAAATAAACTACCTAATATCAATAGAATTGAACAGCAAAGTTGCACGTAATTCAAATTTAAATATAATTATAATACGAAGAAGTAGAATCCATATATCTTAGTCTATGATCCATTTTTTGATTCTCGTTGTCCATTCTAGGTTGATCCCTCAATCATGAGGCAAGGCTGTAATTTATGTGGGGCATTACATGCAACCAAATTGTTTAAGCTCTTGCCAATTAATGTGGACCAACTCTGCAAGTATATAAGCAACGAGAATATGTGCAATTTGGATTTTTCTGATTCTATAAGCAACCTACATGAATGATGAATGTGTTTATCCAATCAAGTCAAGTATCAACACTTTGAGCTTGGTCCAGACACTGAAGGTCTTGAGAGTCAAGTTTCTCATTCAGGATCCTCTCAATGTTGTTTAATGCATCGTTTGCCGCTCTATTGTGGGCAATTTCTTTCTTCAGAGCATATGTACCTCTTCCCACAAGCTGATCATCTACGAATACATCAAATGCTGTACTTTCCTTCCATAAATCCACAAATTTTACTTTCATCTTCTTTTTCTGGCAGACTTCATACAATTCCGTTACTGGATGCTTCTTCAATGTTTCCAGACTGATGATAGGCTGCAACAAACCCTTAAACACCTAATCCAAAAACCACAAAATTTTAATATTGAATACTGTATGCTTTTAGAAAGAAATATGAAAAGGGAAGTTAGAAGGAAGAGTAAATAATAATATATTATTATACCAACCTTCCACACGGTGTCAATTGAGCAATGGCTATCAATGAAAACAGCCCCTATTGTTGACTCAATAATATCAGCCAGGTCTTTCGGCACATCTACCAGTCCATTTGAGTGCAAAGGATAGTCCAATATCGCTTCCGAAAATTCTCGAATCTGTATCCACGAAGTACTCAAATATACTAAATACCAAATAAAACAAATCAACTAACTTCAACATATTAAACTACAAACTGTTTTGATTCTCAACCTCTCTGCACTATAGAATTTATACAAAATTATTGAAACAAGAGCATTAGGATTAACAACTTCAACCTCTATTGCTGGTCGATGATTCCTTGAGAGTCAAATCATCATATGTTATTAAACAAATAATAAGTCATAATCATACATGTTAAGATTTGAATAATTTTCCGAATTGTTTCTTTCCCATTTTTGTTGAATGGTTTCGATTGGACAACTGAAAAATATAGCTTGAGCATCCAAGCAGGACATCGCTTTCACATATATTTTCTAGAGCACTGGCTGGCACGACAGAGCCATAAGTAATAAACAAAAAACATAAATAAAACTAAAAGAAAGTCTTGATACGGCAAATTAGGTTAATAGTCAGAACCAACCAACGCCGGCCATATTTCAACCTTGCGTAACGATTAAAAACTGTTGGATGTGTTGACAGCATCATACAATAAACCGACTTTGAAGAGTTTGAGATATTTTGTCACTTACTTGTTCTTCAAGAAGAGGTTTTTTGTGGCGTAAAAATCTATGTAACCCTAGTTTGATGGCGACACGTGCAAGCTTCTCTGTGTTAACATTTGCTGAACGGAGGCGGGTCAAGGACCCGGGAGGCAAATCCGGATACAGAAAGTACTGTTCCTTGGTGAACAGTACGTTAAGCACCGAGTCCCCGACGTATTCTAAACGCTCATATGAAAGCTTTTCAGAATAAGAAGAATGCGTAAGAGCCTCTTCTAATAAGCCCTTGTTGTTGAATTCATAACCGAGAATCTCCTCCACTTGATCAAGACTAGGAAAAGAATCCTCATGAATCTGGGTTGAGTCGCTCTCTTTTCCATCTAAATTAAGGCTTTCTGCTAATCGAAAAAGAACTATTTGGTCTTGGTCTTCCATGGTTTTCATTACGGAAGTTTAGAGAATACAAAGAAAGGAAAAAGAGAATAGAAAGTCAACAGTGGATATGCCGGACAAAGATGAAGTGTAAAACAATGGGGGATTTTGTTGTATTTATAGACGAAATTATAAAAGAAATTGAAACACAATGACAAGATCCATGTTGTCTACAACTTTTGACTTTTTTAGTTTCTTTCTCATATTATTTGGGTTTGTGATTTTCTAATGAAGTTTCGGTTGTTTATTAGGGTTTAAATATGGTATGATAATGATATATAACCTAAACTGAATTGGTGAGTTTTGTTAATTTTATGCAATTAGGAATATTATAAATAACAATAAGAATATTACCAACATAACCAAAGTAGGTCAAATTTAAAATTGATACTTGCATTGCATACTCAATGCCATGGCAATGTAAGTGCATTAATGTTAAACTCAGTGCAGATCAGAGGTGGTTGTAGTTTAGAAATTGGAGTTGACAAATGACGTGGCCAACTAAGATTAACTTTGCCTTTACGTAAGGCCCAAGACAGAAACAGCGGATTAATTGCAGTTGGGATTTGGGAAGAGCCAAACTGCGGAGTTCATTGTACTACTACTACTACTAGTCTACTACTATAGTTCCAGAAAGTACAGTACCAGAAGATCTCATCAATTTTGAAAAAAAAACCAAAATAATCGGTCATTCTTAAATATTAAATTGAGTAATTGTTTATAAATAAATATATATTAAGTAACTTGTAATAATAGTTGTTTTTATATATTAATTGCAACCAGTACCAGCTAGATCCCATGATTAATACCTTTTTTCAGGTGATTAATTACATTCAGTCCACCTATACTATGCACCATTCTTACTCTTTCCTGAAAGATCTTAAAGACCGAATCGCCATCAAAAAACTAAACCATATTATGTAATTAATATATATTTTTCAGTTAAAGTTCAGTTGTAGTATATAAATTTGGTTTACCAAGAACTTAAGCCACTCACAAGAATACCGGCCCCAATGGCTCTAATTTTACTTTCCTCCTTGAAGGAGAAGTGTCTAAGACGGCATGGACCACTTGGTGTTGCTGATCTAGAAAGTTGAAGGACGGTGTCTACAAAGTAGATGTTACCTTGATTATCTTATGACCCAAGAAAAATTGTGCTTGCTTTTTGTATGAGAGAAAAATCTTTACAGCGTTAACCACGCACCATTCCTAGCTAAAGTGATGATGATAGTTTTGGCTTTAGCTTCCACCATTTAGAATAAAATAAAGAAGCACCTACTTCAATAGTGTTTCCGTAAATGTTGCATGTACTTTGATAAATTGACAGTTGCTCATATCATATCACCTCTACCATTTATAAACAAGGCTTTTTGAGAGAGAATTTGAAGACTGAATTGTCGCCCAACTCCACTCCCTGTTATGTTTTTTCTATTTAAGGATCTCTTCATAAGCAAGAAAACCAAATTTAGTAACATCTACTATACCTTTCAACATCACAATATTAACTTTCTGAAGTTCTGGCTTTTGATGTCAATGTCTAAATCCACTTGATAAAGAATTTACAATTTGCTGTTCCTTGATAAGATTGAGACACCAAATGCCAGCTAGAAAAATAAAAAAGATTATAAATGAACATATTACAGCACAAAATATGAGTTTCTTCCTTCCGAGGCTTTTCTTCAAGCAATAAATAATTTTGTGAAAGCCTTACCTAATCTAAACTATAGCATTTACAAACAATGAGAAATAGTGGAATTACTTAATAGGTATTTAGTCACACCAAAAAAAAAAACTTCCATAATGCACGTATGACAGCATTTTCTCTACCTTCCTGACATTAGGTTGACTAGGGCGTGATTTTCATAGAAGGAGCCGACATCCCAATCCTCTGTTGTAGAAGAAAGAGTCATTAGGGCAACCACAATGGATCTCATACTTGGACGCAGTTGTGGATACTCTTGGGTACACACTTTAGCAAGCTGAGCCATCTGCAATAAAATCAGACACCATGGCTTCACAAAACAGAAATCTTAACACAAAATCTTAAAATATTGTTTCCAAAAGATTTTCTCACCTTCAGGACCGAGTCAAATGGATAGTTATCACCAAGCCTAGGGTCAACAAGTTTACAAAGATCCTCTTTAGGATCAGGTAAATTAAGCACTTCCTCAAACTGTGAAGAAAACCCAAAAGAAAAAATTATAATAAGATAAAATATAATCATGGCGCTCTTTCAAATTCTATTATGAGGGGTGTTAGATAGGCAAACCAACTATAAGCTTGATATGCTACAAAAACCAATTGGCTCATGACTTGAGAGGCAAAGAAATAAAAAATTATAGTTGTCCAGTTTGACACTGACTTGTTTTCAAGTTTCAATATAAGATCAGTGAGCTTTGAGCTCCTTTATTACCACTCTTAGTTACTTCATCAAATAGAGGGTTGACAAACTTACCAAAGCAACAAGGCCCTTTGATTCAGCAGCAGAATCATTTGCTCCTCTGACTATGGCTTCTTTGGCAGAAATTAGTTCATAGAGGACAACCCCAAAGGCATATACGTCTATTTTGGGAGAAACATCACCATATTGAGCATATCTGCAAAAAGCATTACCAAAGTTTAATCACTTCTTTTAACAAGTAAATACATCTTTTGGAGACAGTAAATGCCAAGCTCATCTTTGGAAATGGACCAATTCCTTTTTTTCTTGCAATAACTAATACACAAGAAATTATCAAATTTCAGAACCTAAAACCTAAAACATGAATATAATAAAAATTAAATGTCAACACAGAAAACTCTAAATCATGAAAGATAAATAGCATTAACAGTCTGTACATCCTTCCACATTGGCAGGAACACATCACTCAATGGTCGCCTTCACAGCCTTTTCAACTTCGATCCAGCTGAGATAAACTTGAACATATTTTCTAGGCCCAGCTAAAGCTCTAGCTTTTACGAGCCAAAGAACAAATTGAGCCAACCTTAAATGTAGCAAAACCTGTCTCAGTTAGGCTTGATTGCATCCCTTCCCGGAACTATAGCTCAGATTAACATCACCTAATTACTAAACATTCATGTAAAGTGCCCTGCTTCCTTGGATCATAAATTTGATCCAGGTCACTGTCGCAAGAAACATCCAGATCAACCAATGCCAAAGCTAAAATTCATTCTTTTCTACCAACTACTACTCGATTCAACCTTGAAAAATTAACAAAAATATAGAAGTATCTTACTCTGGAGGCATGTATCCAAATGTGCCCACAAGACGTGTGGGAAGTGATGCACTTCCAACTTCAGTCAGTTTTGTTAATCCAAAATCTGCAACCTGCAACACTAATTATTCAGTACAACAATGCGACGGGCTGTCAGATGTCACCTTGGCAACAGAGACATGATAGTAACCTAACCTTTGCATGGAAGTTCTTGTCTATCAGTATATTTGCTGATTTTATGTCTCGATGGATATAAACAGGAACTGTGTGTTCGTGAATATATTCAAGACCTCTCGCGGAATCAAGCGCAATTTGCACCCTAGAAGACCATGGCAGAGGATCCCTCTCTGAAGACATAGAAACAAAACCATTAAAAAGTTGATTTTTCTTTTTCCTGATAGGCAATCATTGGCATTGCTCTCCATACACTGCCACAAAAAACGTTGTTCATCAGGCACATGTAAACTTGCCTGATCCACGTAAATGTTGGCTTAAGTTCCCATTCTCGATGAATTCATAAACCAGGAAAAGAGAACCCTCGACACAATATCCAATCAAGCGCACCTGCAGTAGATGTCACGTAAGTTATATTGAGTGCCTTGATTATCAAAAGTGGACAATGTTAAAGAAAGTCACCAAAAAAATAAAGCAAACAAAATCATATAAAAGGAAAAAAAGAACTGCATTAAACTACAAAAAGAGAAAGATCGATGATAAAAAAATTCTCTCCAATTAAGAAAGCACATTACCAGATTCAAGTGATGAACGTGTGTCAAAACTTTCAATTCAGCAAGAAATTCTCTTGATGCTTGCATATCCATCTTTTTTATTGCAGCTTTCTGCATCAAGAGTTATAAAGGGATAAGTTTTGCAGAATAGTATATGCAAATTTAGAACATGAAATCAACGTGACATGACCAACGAACACCAATTCTTTTGTATCCATCCCTAAAGAGCATTTACAAATGCAACACTGAAATGTCAGAAAAGGTAAAACGGCCTATGTTATACACTGAGTACTAGCATAGCATATGCTATGGATGTCAATGACATGACCGCCATTCCACTTAAACCTAAGCAAATATCACTGACAGGGCATTGGTTATTCATAACATTACTTAGTAGATTAAAATCCCATTCACTTCTTCCCATCCATTTTGTTGCTCAGTTATAATTGACTAAACCGCAAGAAACTGTTATGAGTCAGCCAACATAATCCTATTTCTAACCTTTCCAAAATGAATGAACTCATGGAAACTGTTCCTCTCATAAGTGACAAAATTGCCCTAGAAAAAAATATCTTGATTAAAAAATTCAGCACATGTAACACTATGCATATTGAAGAGGGTAAGCTTTTGTAATTTTTTTCTAGATACTTTAACTGTCAATTGATAGATATTCAAGCATTCACCTGCAAATATAAAAGGGTGTCCTAATTGTTTCATTCCAATTTGATCCCCAGACAATTTTCTCAATGCATGGCAGGATTATTCAGATCGAAAAATTGTTGTTTTTCATCGACAAGCAAGAACCCAGTCCTTTCTGAAAAATTCCAGCAAGATGCTGAGTTCTGGAGTTAATCAAATAATTATTGTACAATGTTTTATAGGTTGGAAATGCAAATACTTCTTCAAAAATACATTTAAAAGCAAAAGAAAAAGTGTGGGGCTACAGACCTCTCCTCTTAGCTCTGCATAGTAAACAGATCCAAAACCACCTTCTCCAATTTTATTAGCCATACTGAAAGTATCAGTCGCCTTGGCAAGTTCTTCATATGAGAACTCCACAGACTTGTCCACAGTTATCCCTGTAAGCCCTGTGGAAGCACCAGCAGCTGGACCAGGAGATTCCAATGGTTTATCTGAAGAAATTCCAGGAGTCAACCCCAAATGGAGAGAGAAATTAGCAATAAGATCATGTTTAATCATAGTTTGATTCATTATTTTGCTAAACATGAGACCAAAATAATCAGTAAACATACTAGATCCAGCTTGA